CGGCTGGAATCGTTTTTTAAACGATAAAAACATGTTGTCTGAGACTTGGCGGGACACTGGGCAGGTGAAGTAGAGTTGAGTAGGTCACATGTGACGTCAGTATATGAAGGGATAGTCCGAAATCGGTGTTTTCGGTGTTTTTAAAAGATAAGAAACATATTTTTGAATGTGTGCTCTGTTTTTGTGACGATAAGTGACACTGCAGTAGCGTAGCGAGGAGGGGGCGGGGGGCGGGTGGGGAGGCGGGGGGGGGGGGGGAAGGGGAGGCGGGGGGGGGGGGGGAAGGGGAGGCGGGGGGGGGGGGAAAGGGGAGGCGGGGGGGGAGGGGAGGCGGGGGGGAGTGAAGGGGGGGGGGGGGCGGGGGGACGTATGTTGGGGCGCCAAAATGGTTTGGAAAAATAAATTGAAAGGTTGAGGGGGGTTCAAATCGAAAGTTTGAGTGGGGGGGGGGGGAGGGGGTGCACATCAAAAGTTTGAGGGGGGGGGGTTGAAAATCAAAATCTTGGGGGGGGGTTAAAATCGAAAAGTTTGTCCCCGGGCGCCGGGAAGGCTCGCTATGCCTCTGAGTGACAGACGTGATGTTTTTTGATGGATGACCCCCGAAACCCACAGTTATCCAAGGGATGACGGGTATTCTAGTATAGCTACTAAAAGTCAAGTTTGTTTACATGTTTGAATATTTATTTGTTTGTTTGTTTGTTTGCCTGATCGACTATTGTGATATGTTCGACTCTATCTGGAAAGCTGTAAAATAGTATGTAGGTAGAGAATAATTTTTTTATGCAGACAGACTGTTAATCACAAATTTATTTAAAGACGTTAATTAATTTATTGATTTATTCCTACGCAGAATAACCCATTTTTTTTTTAAAATGTTAAAACCTTGACTAAACTTTGTGGGAATGGTGACGTCACAGGTTTTTGTTTACTCTTTAGTACAATAAATGGCGGCGTCTATTGAAGAAAATTGTGTTCCCATTCAAAAGTTTAACGCGTTCTAAATCTAATTTTCTGTCGGTCATAACTTTAACAATACGTCCGTTTGCTGTATTTATTACGTCCCAACACTTATATCAATTTTTAAACTGTCTTTTTTCATTTAGTTTTTCAATAAATTTCTCTAGATCTAAAGATCAGCTGTCGAAGGAAAGTTATTTATAGATCTAGATCTAGAATCTAGGTCAAATCAAATCTAATTTTCTGTCGGTCATAACTTTAACAATACGTCCGTTTGCTGTATTTATTACGTTCCAACACTTATATCAATTTTCAACTGTCTTTTTCATTTAGTTTTACGATAAATTTCTCTAGATCTACAATCTGTCCAAGAAAGTTATTTATTTATTTATAGATCTAGATCTAGAATCTAGGTCAAATCAAATATTTATTGATTATAAATACAATCCAAAAAAAAAAGAGACTTAAGCAAACCAGTCGTAGATCTAGAATATAGATAATTCTATTCTATCTAGATTTAGATAATAGTGATTTTCTATATACTAAACTATTTTAGACCTTTATTATTTTATATAAATCTTTGTTTGGAATATGGTAATTTTGAAATGCTCGCTCCGGGCCCATCAGCGTAGCTAATGATTAGATCTAGATCTAGATTCTAGATCTAGCAAGAAAAACTAAACTTAAGACTTAAGCAAACGAGTCGTAGAATCTAGATCTAGATAATTCTATCTAGATCTAGATAATTTCAGACCTTCTTTATTTTTATATAAATCTTTGTTTGTATAGCTATGAAATATGCTAATTAGGAAATGCTCGCTCCATGGCCTCTATTTGCATAATTTAAGATTTATACGCGGCTTCTATACTGCTAATTTTGCAAAATTATGAACGTAAACTCTAGATATAGCTCAGTCGTAGATCTAGAATATAGATAATTCTATCTAGATTTAGATAATAATAAGTTTCTATGGAATTGGCTAATTTAAGATAAAATTTAATTTGAAAGTTAGTACTACTATACCTAGATCTAGAATCTATGCGCTTAATCAAGTTGCATAAGTATAGTATAAAAATTCACTTGTGACGTCACGTGTAAATAGCTAAGTTGGTAGCGTAGCCCGCTCTCATGTGGGTGGCACAGGTTCTAGACCAATATGTCAATGATATTTTTTTTTTTTTTTTTAGATGTGAATGATAAAGTTGCCTATCTGAACTTGGAAGGATACAAGGCAGGTGAAGTAGAGTTCATCTGTTTCTTTGTCCTAAGCATATGAAAGGATAGTGTGGTCCAGAGACATGCTCGGCTGGAATCGTTTTTTAAACGATAAAAACATGTTGTCTGAGACTTGGCGGGACACTGGGCAGGTGAAGTAGAGTTGAGTAGGTCACATGTGACGTCAGTATATGAAGGGATAGTCCGAAATCGGTGTTTTCGGTGTTTTTAAAAGATAAGAAACATATTTTTGAATGTGGGATCTGTTTTTTGTGACGATAAGTGACACTGCAGTAGCGTAGCGAGGAGGGGGGGGGGGGGGCGGGGAGGGGGAGGGGAGGTGGGGGGGGGGGGAGGGGAGGTGGAGGGGGGAAGGGGGGCGCGTGGGGGGACATATGTTGGGGCGCCAAAATGGTTTTGGAAAAAATAAATTGAAAGGTTGAGGGGGGGTGCAAATCGAAAGTTTGAATGGGGGGGGGGTGCACATCAAAAGTTTGAGGGGGGGGGGGGGGGTGCAAATCGAAATCTTGCGGGGGGGGGGGGGGGTTTCAAATCGAAAAGTTTGTCCCCGGGCGCCGGGAAGGGTCGCTATGCCTCTGAGTGACAGACGTGATGTTTTTTGATGGATGAGCCCCCGAAACCCACAGTTATCCAACGGATGACGGGTAGTCTAGTATATATATATATATATATCTATATATATATTATATATATATATATATATATATATATATATATATATATATATGGCGTTATGCGGCGGCGTGGTGCGATTAAAGACCTTAATCAGGCTAAATCTATTATAGGGGGCTCATAATTAGATAATAAATCCTTTATTGGCAAAGCAAAAGGATGTTCGCTGAAACTTCTGTTTTTGTGTTCTAATTAGGTTTACTGCAGCTTCCGTTGTTTGTTAAGCCCCATATTTTAATAATTAAGATCAGTGTTTCTTCCAGACTTTTTTCTCCGGGGGGGGGGGGGGGCACTTGAAATTTTCTGGGGGGGGGGGGCGGTCAACATTTTTCGGGGGGGGGGGGGGGCGGACACTAGTAAAAGTGTATGTTTACTATATAAAATCCATCTCTTTCGGGCTCCGCCCCCCCCCCCCCGAAGAGATGCCTGGAAGAAACTGATTGAGATATCTAGACAGAAATTATGCTGATGACCAAGATTACGTCATTCGTCCAACTCACCTCCAGCGCTGAAGAGCTCGTCGTGTTGACCTGTTGGCACGCGCTAGCTCGTGACGACGTTACATTAGAGTTGGTTCCCCCTGAGTTGTCTTATGGCGGTTTTGGTTAACCATACACACCATGGCAACGCTCATGTTGACACGAAGAGCGTAGAGGTTGATGAAGCCGAGACATGAGATGATGGCTAGAGATAGACGGCTGGAACATAAGACAGGGGCTCTACTGCCCATATCTGGGGAATAGTAAAATATATGGTCAGAACATAATATAAGGGTTCTGCTGTTCATATCTGGTGAATAGTAAAATATATGGTCAGAACATAATATAGGAGCTCTACTGTCAATATCTGGTGAATAATAAAATATATGGGTGATACAACGTTAGCATAATGTGGTAGATAATATTTGCAATATGCATCAGGTACAACATGACACAGGTACAACATGCATTTTTACAATATGACACAGGTACAACTGGACATACATGTACAGCAGGATATACAGGTACAACATGACACATAAGTACAATATGACACACAAGTACAACATGACACACCACAGGTACAAAATGACACAAGTACAATATGACACACAAGTACAACATGACACAGATAAAACATGACACAGGCACAGAACACCACAAGTAAATTCATTAAAAAAACACAAGCCATTGCAATTAACAAAAAAAAAAACACAATTACCTTCAAAAGTTATGCCACTGTCTTTGACCGGCTTGTTAACTCCATTCTTGTCATTGTTTATCCGGGCTGTCTCCTCCTGGTAACTCGGATTATCCTGGTAACTCGGATTATCCATGATTTTAATCCTAACCCGTGCGGCATAAGCTCTCAACCAGCAACACTAGCAAATTATTTTTGAATAATTGATCCTAGAGCATAGCAACATCCAGTTTTTGAGGTTTGTTTTTCGACACCTGTTGTACTGTTGTAGTATAACCATGCGCTAATGATTCTTGTCAACTGAATGTATGTTTATGTCTGTGTGTTTGCGTTTGTGGAATGGGGGGGGGGGGGGGCGACGTACAGGCACAAAAAGGTCAAAATCAGCGTATAGGTTACAATTAGGGGAAGAAATATTTTGAGAATTTGTTAAGCGCGTGTTTCAACCCTCCAGGATGTGGATTGTTAAAGAAAGACGTTACGTACGTTTAACGTTAGAGGACCAGGTTCCCTGTTGAACAAACAACGGACGCGGACAGATGGTGTCAGAGATACACAGCGTGCGTGTATTGGCGTGTGTGTGTGTGTACAGTGAGAGCCTAATGATACGTCTGCTGCAGTACAGGTTAACATGACCAGTCAGGCGACCAATGGGAGCTTGACAACACTCAGAGACGAATCTACTGAGTGGCTTTTGGAGTTTTAGTTTCTTCCAAAGATGTAGACCAATCTTATTCTTAATTTCACAACTCTGTTTCGAATTTTGGGACATTTTAAATGATTTGTCATGGCTAAACTATCTTTTTTATGCATGTCACAGAAACAGGTGAAATCTACTTCCTCTGCCACACGGACCGCGCCGGTTTGAAAGGGTAACTTTCCTTTTTTAACAGTTTTTTGTTACAAATATTTCATGCTGTTTAGCTGTGTAGCTACGGTGAACGGAAAAAAAGTCACAGGAAAAAAAAAACACAGAAAAAAAGTCACAGTTTTTGCTAGGAAAAAAAGTCACAGAAAAAAAAGTCACAGTGGAAACATTTTATCGGAAAAAAGTCACAGAAATACAGTCACAGAAAAAAAGTCACAAAAATATTTTTAGAAATATTTTTATTAATTTGTTAGGAATTGTAAAATTTTGTCTGTTTATTGTTGTGGGTTGTATTTTTTTATAGCATGAATTATTTATAGACGTTTAAAGCATTATGATTTATAACAACAGTAAGTAAAAATACCCTAAGATAATTAACACAACAATCTCAACTTTTGTTACGTATTTGTGTGGGCAGTAAAGGTGGTTGAACTAAACATAACTATTGTTGCCATGAGTTGAGGGCAGCAAGTCAGATGAACTTACTATTTCACGGTAATTTAATATTGGTATTTTAAAAAAAAACAAGATGAAAAACGTGGACTTTGGAGCATTCTATTAAATGCTACTAATCTTAAGTTTAAAATAATTACAATCTACATACTTCATAATAAATATTTTTAGATGAATTATAAAAAATTCCTATGCGAATACAGCCTACACACGTTACATTACATTTAATTAATCCTAAGTTCATTTGCACTCTCTAAATATTTAATACATAAGAGTATTAACAAATATCATGCAAATATATATTTGTGACTTTTTTTCCTGTGACTTTTTTCCTGTGACTTTTTTTCTGTGTTTTTTTTTTCCTGTGACTTTTTTTCCTACAATCGTAGCTACAGGCGGATCTGGGAATAGACGTTAGATCCAGCCCTCGCATGAATCTATTTATAGACTATGTTATCCCCCCCACCCCCCTTAGTAAAAAAACACCTCAAAACCTAGATCTTTCTTTGTCTAGTACATTATAAATTACATGAGTTCAATTATAAGTGCTTAGTTAATGTGATGATAAAACAGCAACGTACCGGCGTTATGACGAGGCTTCGGGTTGTATCTCTGGATCGTCTCGGTTGTTGAATAACGTCTCGCACCAGTAACCAGCAGACAACCACTCAAGCAGAACTGGGAAATTTGTCAGTAAATAGCTGTTGATGTCTGCTGTTTACCGGCACGATTCAGTCCAGACGTGACAAAATCACGTCGTATGCCGTGGCAAACTTGGTGTGATAATTGAATGGACAATTGTTTCAAATTTAATGTGCAAAAAATAATTTAACACGAGAATAGAGATACCATGACGAACGGATGTGGCTATTTTAAGACGCGCGGATGTCGCAGCTATTGAGATTTTACAGATCTCGCAGATACAAGGGAAATCTTGGTTTGTAGATTTCGAGATAAGAGGGAAAATTTGAAGATCTCGCAGATACAGGGAAATGTTAAAGATTCACATATATAATGGATTTTTGCAGATCTCTCCAGAGGCGTAGCGACCCTTCCCGGCGCCCGGGGACAAACTTTTCGATTTGCACCCCTTTCGAGATTTCGATTTGCACCCCCCCCCCTCAAACTTTCGATTTGCACCCCCCTCAACCTTTCAATTTATTTTTCCAACCCATTTTGGCGCCCCCTAAGGTCGGCGCCCGGGGACATATGTCACCCCCCCCCCCCGCCCCTCCCTCGCTACCCTACTGGATCTCTCAGATACATGGGAATTTGAAGATCTCACAGAAAAAAAGGGGAAATTTTGAAGATTTCACCGAAAAAAGGGGAAATTTTGAAGATTTCACATATTTAAAGGAAGTTGCAGATCTCGTGATATACCAATTAAATTTTAGCAGATCTCTCAGATACAAGGGACACTTTGAAGATGTCTCAGATACAGGGACATTTTGCCGATATTTCAGACACCTGTAAGATCTCTCAGATTAAGGACATTTTGCCGATATTTCAGTCATATTTAAGATGTCTCAGATTAAGGACATTTTGCCGATATTTTAGACACCTTTAAGATCTCTCAGATACAAGGACATTTTGCCGATATTTCAAATAACTTTAAGATCTCTCAGATACAGGGACATTTGCCGATATTTCAAACAACTTTAAGATCTCTCAGATACAGGGACATTTTGCCGATATTTCAAACAACTTTAAGATCTCTCAGATACAGGGACATTTAGCCGATATTTCAAACAACTTTAAGATCTCTCAGATACAGGGACATTTTGCCGATATTTCAAACAACTTTAAGATCTCTCAGATACAGGGACATTTTGCCGATATTTCAGACACTTTGAAAGAGTATCAGATACAGGGATATTTGCCGATATTTCAGATACAAAAGACACATTGAACATACTTAAGTTCCCACTAGCCAGTAGTAGACAGCAGACGTGAAAAAAAAAGCAAACAAAAATAAAAGGTTAGGTAGTACACAGGAATGTTGACCTAAGCTTATGACACTGGACTAGTAGCCTTTAACGTAGATCACAAGCTGAACTGATATTTGGGTTTTGGGGGTGGGAAGTCCGGGGTGGGGTGGGGGGGGGTGAGGATGTTTAAAATATTGGAGCAGGATTAAAGTGTCGACGGTCGAATTTTGGAACGAGGTAGTTATTTATAGAACTGTAGGCTAACTAAATAGCTTTCAGAAGAAACTATCTGATTACTAGTTCAGTACAGATGAATACAATGGCGCTTTAAAATACACAAAGGAAAGGGAAATATATAATAATATTTGTAACGTAATAAAAAAAATTTAATCTATTATTAACAAAACTTTAACAAATCTTTAAGAGTTAAATTTCCTGTTCATTGTTATTCTGGTAGCAAGGGAGACAATTCAATAAATTGTTTCAAGCTTGTGGGACCTGATTAGGTAAAAACACCACCTGACACATGAATAAATCAATATTTCTACGTCATAACAAGTCTAAATCTCGATGTAAACATTTAGCGAGCCACACGTTAGTAATAGGGTTATCTTGTGCAAACTAGCATATGGGATGTACAGCCTTATGTGAGTTATAGGGTTATCTTGTGCAAACTAGCATATGGGATGTAGGGCTTTATGTGAGTTATAGGGTTATAGTGTGCAAACTAGCATATGGGATGTACGGCCTTATGTGAGTTATAGGGTTATCTTGTGCAAACTAGCATATGGGATGTAGGGCCTTATGTGAGTTATAGGGTTAGAGGGGGGATGGACACTGGTAAAAGTATATGTTTTCTATATAAATTCCATTTCATTCGGGGAGGGGCTCAGTGTATCAGTACTGTTCTGAAGAGTTAGGGCAGATGAAGTAGAGGCCATCTGTTTCACATCTACCGACCGATTGTCTCAGCGTTTGTTAACTTTAGCTGACCACATGTTAACTTCATCTAACCACGTGTTAACTTTAGCTGACCACTAGATAACTTTAGCTGACCACGAGATAACTTGAGCCAGCAGCATGGCTATTTAATGTTCTGACCACTTGACGATGTTTCTTAGTAAATAACACTGACTGTGTCTCTAGTTATACTAGTAGAGAAAGGGATGTGTTGTAAGAATCATAACAGCTGAACATTAAAACTATCACTTCAACACCAGCTAAACATTAAAACTATCACTTTAACACCAGCTGAACATGAAACTACCACTTTCATACCAACTCAACAAACAATAACACAACAATGTGCTGAATATACTTTTAGCATTTAATCAATAATGGCAGTAAACAAAGAAAATTTTGTGTGACCTCACAATAGGTGAAACAGCTCAACTCTCAGAGGGTGAAATACACTCTATAGCATTGTCAGAGGGTGAAATACACTCTACAGCATGGCCAGTTGAGAGGGTGAAATACACTCTATAGCATGGCCAGTTGAGAGGGTGAAATACACTCTATAGCATGGCCAGTTGAGAGGGTGAAATACACTCTATAGCATGGCCAGAGGGTGAAATACACTCTATAGCATGGCCAGAGGGTGAAATACACTCTACAGCATGGCCAGAGGGTGAAATACACTCTATAGCATGGCCACTTGAGAGGGTGAAATACACTCTATAGCATGGCCAGAGGGTGAAATACACTCTATAGCATGGCCAGAGGGTGAAATACACTCTATAGCATGGCCAGAGGGTGAAATACACTCTACAGCATGGCCAGTTGGAGGTTGAGGGACAGGTAGGATACAAATCTAGCCAAAGCTATGTTGATGGTCTTGTGTTATTTTCATCTGGCTTCACGTGTTTGTCATGTAATATAAATATCTGGCCCCATAGATATAGATGGTGATCTATATATAAATATCTGGCCCCATAGATATAGATGGTGATCTATATATAAATATCTGGCCCCATAGATATAGATGGTGATTTATATTTAACTATCTGGCCCCATAGATAGAGATGGTGATTTATATATAAATATCTGGCCCCAGAGATGATGGTAAGATATTATAACAATCTGCCAGTGATGTTAGTCATTCAGGGCAATAAACTTGGGCTCTGTTGGTTGAAATATGGATTTAAATCTGGCCAATACATTTTGTTGGTCACTACATTTATAATCCATACAAAATTGTATTTGTTAATAGACTAAGATGTTTATTGATTAGATTCTTCAAGTCTGAAATACTATCCTCTTTATACAGAATTAATGGCTGGTGGGGGAGGGTGGAATTCAACACACTCTGTCAGGTAAATATTTTGTCATGTTATTAAAAGATCGCAGTAGATGGAACATGTTATATTTTGCTACAACTTTCAAAATTTAGCTAACATTTATTTATAGATGGTAACATTAAGATGTATTAAACTAAAAAAAAAAACAACTTTATACAGAATCTGGTAGATGGTACAGAAACAATTGTACGCTACTTTGTTCTAGGCACTAGGTGTAAAAATAGTTTGATGTTGTCGTAGGATGTCCAGCAAGTTTATCTGGCAGTCAGATGACCAGGGTCACTATGACATGCTCAAAGTGATGTGACATTTAGATGTCAGCACATGACATGTTTGATGTCAGCACCTGACAATATAGATTTTACACATGACATGGAAGGACGTCATCATGTACCTCAGAATTAGCTGCAATTACGGAAAAAGTTGATACATTTCAAACCATCAATATGCTACACAATTATGCCATATTGTACTAACATAACAGTTAGCTAACAGCTTTTGAAAAACTCTACCTTGGTAGGATTTCTTTTTGGATTTCACATTTTCTTAAACTTTTTATAATTTTTACATCCAAGTACAAACTATAAATTTGAACTCACACAGTCAAGCAGGCAAAAACCAGTAAATTTAAATTCATTCTTAAAACAGGCAAAAACTGGTTAACTAGAAATCATTCAGTCAATCTGGCAAAAACTAGTGACTAAGGAGTACCGGGGTAACAACAAAAATACTGGACTGGAAGAAATTTGCCAGCTGGTTGACATGTCATTGCTCTAATTGTTGTGGCACCACGCCAATGTTGGCAGTTGGTTTTCCAACAGTAGTTCAACATATTACATGCCACAATATTTTAATGTACATTTCAATGTGACAATATTTTACTAAACATTTGAATGTGACAAGATTTTAACACACTGTTTCATCTCAATGCCAGAGTAGTTCAACATATAATGCCACCAAATTATAATGTACATTTGAATGTGGCAAGAATTTAACGCACTGATACTAGTGATACATCTAAATACCACAATATATTTATGTACATTTCAATCCCACAATATTTGTATGTACATTTCAGTGTGACAAGATTTTAACGCACTGGTTCATCTCAGTGCCACAGTAGTTCAACATGTAATAATGCCACAATATTTTCAAGTACATTTCAATACGACAAGATTGTAACCAATATTCCAACAGTGTTGTGACATTTCTTACCTTCCAATTTATGTACAAACATTGTAAAATTTAAAAAATTTGGCAGTAGAAAAAAAATCCCTCTACCCTTCATGCACCTCAGCTTCAGAACAATCCTAAAAAACTAGTTTAATGATAGGAAACTAGCCTAAAATACTTGATATTAAAGTAGTAGCCATGAGATAAATGATCAAAAATAAAAATACAGGTTGACTTCAAGATACATTACTTTGTTTAGGAAGAGTTTAACTATGATTCAATATGACCAATTCTAAACCTGACTAATAGTTTAGTATTGAGGTACTGAACATAAACAACTTTTCATCTAAACCTTTAACTAAATATAAACCTAATTAATCACATACTTTATAAGAATAAAAAAAACATTTGGCAAAGTATAAATAACAGGAGTAAAAAGAAAAGTCAGAAATTTTTTCAGCTGACAGTAGAGTTGGCCTACACAACTTTTTAGTCCTTAATTCAAGAATGTTTCCAACTCATTAAAACTGATGAAGATATCCTCTTGAAAGCTCCCACAGTGAATTCAACAAGAACCTGTACAGATATCCCTCAAAGTTTAGTAGAAGAAACCATACAGAAATCACCAGGCAATAGATCCAGACACACAGCAGAGGTCTGGGGACTAAACTTCTTTATTTGGCAGATCACAAAACCATGACCGTGGGATGACAAGATCCAGAAAATTTTCCTGAAGAAAACAATTTTTAAATGGTCAAAATTTTTAAAAATATTTAAGTACACAATTAAAAATGGTTACAACTGGCAATCTGACTAGAAGCTGTTATGGTAAAACCTGGCTATGAATGAATGGTAAAACATCAAGAGAAGACAACTGTAGGAGAGTAAGGTTAAACTAAGTGGGATAATATAGATGCATTTACATTCTGCTTGCATTTTATCACTGAACAAACTGTATAGCTCATTTTAGAACAAGGTGCAGATTTTAAACCTACAAAAAGATTTGTGTAGCGAGAACTTCTTAATTGTCAATGGGCAGATGAAATAGGGTTGTCTACAAAAGGGTAGTGTGGTCAATTCTATGTTTTAGAATTTTAATGTTAGATGCTCATCAGAGCTGGTTGGACTCTAAGACATCCTTGAGATTCATGTCACTGATTTAAACTCAAATCTGTCCCACTTAAGTAAACCCTAAATGATTTGGTTGTAGATTTTAAATTTAAGTTCTGTCGTAATTCTACGTGACATATAAGTGACTATTAGTGTATTACCATTCTGATGGGACAATTTTGCCGAGCATAAAACTCCATGCTGTATAAGCACATCAACAGTCCATTTCCAATGAATAGGGCCACCCACATAAACACATTCCAGCTACGGTTTGAGCCCTTGTCCGTGAGAAAAATAAACCCAACTGAAATTTTAAAAAAGGAAACATTCCAAATTACATTTGTACTCTGCATTATCTAGTACAAAACTTTAACAACCAAACCTTGTTATGGAACAAGTCAAAGTAAAAAAAATTAAGCAGAAAATATTAAATCTTTAATTACAGATGTAACCAATTGTGCAGAGAAAACTATCTGGCCTATTACTACTGTTCTGTGGGAAGGTTAAACTAAATGCCAAAAAGCAGGTAACTACAGGAAAACTTACATCCAGCACCAGCAAACATTACAAAGAGAACTGGGTAGAAAAACTTGAAGGTGCAGGTCAAGATGTACTCATGGAAGACTGCTGAAATTAGAAACACACACGCCATTGCACCTGATCGATTGCTGTGGCCAATGAACTGAAAAAGTAAATAAAAAAAGTTGTACACCAGTTATTGCAATAAAAAACAACACATTTAAAGTTTTAGTAACTTTAATGCAAATGGTCAGCTTGATCCTGCAATGTAACTGTTGGTTTGTGTTATGAGCTCTGTCCACTCAGTTTAATGAGTACCTTGGTTAAGTCTGTGAATGGAAATGGTGCTAGAATTACACTGGTAATATTTACCTTACACAGATCCTTGTAAATGTATGTGTACAGCCAGTCATGAACCACCACATTCCAAGTTCTGTAGTAGTTTGAGAAAGTTGTTGAGTTCCACCAGTCCTGCAATAAACAAAATCTTTTCAATTCTGAGCTAAACAATGTGTAGATAATGTTTTTTGCTAGATGATAGACCAAAACAAATGCACATAAAAAAGATGTAATGACATGTTAGGAGTAGCAACCTTCTAAAACAATTAGGGATTAACAAACCTTATAAAACAGCCGGTCTCCAAATCTTAACATTTCAGCAAATGCATTTAACCAGGAATGTAATATGGCAAAAAAAGCTGAAAATAAAACACACAGCTGTTAGTTGCAGAAAATTTCTTATCTTTAATTAGTTTAAATCTACTACATCAAAAAACTGAATCTACAAGCATGAATAAAACTATCTTTAATTTTTTTATTTTAAATTTCCACTTTAAAATGTTGTAACTCAACATTCACAGACATGCTCAGTATAACAAAACAATCTATACTGGTGTTAGATCCACACAAAAGGAAACAAACAAGCACTCACCAATAAACAAGACCAAGGTTCCTGGCATCATACAGCCAAATACCGAGAGTATAAAGCCTTTGGGAGTGATGTGGTCAGCATTGAAGTTCTGGAAAACTGGCACACAAAACCTCTCAAAGATGTAGTAAATGTAGAAAAGACAGGCAAGGACCTGAAGAAAGTTGGTGACAACATATCTCCAGGATATCGACTGAGTTCTGGAAGAGAAAGTTGATGACATGTTTATATCTCAAGGATATAGACTGAATGTGGTGGGCGTGATAATACAGTAGAGCTTTGACTGCTAATACAAAAGTCATTGTTGTCTCCCCCCCCCCCCCCACCCAGTATACTAGTTCAGCCAAAAAATACTAATTAAGCCATGCATATAAACTAAATAAACTTAACATGATCAAATGTGAACATAGATGTACATTACTATCTCTTTCGCATGATCAAATGTTAACATAGATGTACATTACTATCTCTTTCAGTTCAACCAGCTTATTTTTTTGTTTGAACCATAAATATACATTTATTAGGCAATAATAAATGTGGACCAAAGATTTGTTGTTATGATTAGAACGTGTTGTAAGATAAAATTTAGCCAGAACAATCAAACGCAGATACTTAAGTGTTTTTACCTTGGGTAGTTATCACGATACACCAAAGTTGGGCAAAACAGGAAGTACAGATACTTTGAAAAATCTGGGCAAGAATTTTCACTCTTTTTATCTGGAAAAATTAAAAAGTACTTTTTATACATCACTGTTAATTAATTTTACTGAACTAAGCATCAAATTAAATCAAAAATAAAAAACAAGTTTAAACAGATTCTAGAAGTGAAACTACTAGATAAATAAAGTTTTTCAATTTGAGTTACCATCATCTTTTTTCTGATACATGACTCTTGCTGTATTCTCTCTAATAAAGGAATGAGTTTTCATGATCAACCTTGTCTGAAAACAAAATTTTCTACGGTTAATTTTACAAATAGGGCAATGATACATAACAGCATGTCTATAAATATATTTTACTGAGAATTCCCACAGACAAAAAAATTACAACCAGAAGTACTTGTACATACTGAAATCATTGTCACAAAGTCAGTATCCTGGGTAATACATGTATTTATCTTTAATAACTTGTTTAACTGATACAACACACTGTAGTTTTAAGGACTATACTTTAGCATGATTACCAAAACAAAAAAGAAGAAAATTCAAAAGAATAAAAAATGTGCTTTAATGAATAATGCAAAGTTCCGGAAAGGGCGACATACTTATAGTGCTATCTTGAACTGACCTGTTCTGAAGTTATTATGACAGACGATGCAGGAGGGAGCTCATGTTCAATCAAGTATAACAATGGAATGAGAAGAAACGCAAGCTGGTAGATGATCACCAGACCGATCCATACAAAATCGTACAATCCTAGAGAAAAAAAAATTCACATCTGTTTAGGTTGAATCAATATTAAAGGAATGTGTTAGCTAAATAAAATATCTAGAAGTTTAAAATGTTAGTGTTTGTAGAAACAAATCTTCGTAAAACTTACCAGCATTACCAGGCTTACGATTGGCTGCCCAATAGTAAAAGGATGGATAAACAATGATAAGTGTACTTGCTTTCATCAAAACCCACATGGCCATGACCTTGGGAAATTTGCCAAAGGCCCACTGAATCATTTCAAAGTTGAAATTAAATCTAAAGACAAAAAATGTTTAATGGTTAATAGTTGACTGGTTTTACAACACTCAAACAAACTTAATGTTGTAAAAAATTGGTTAAACACTTTATAAAAAGAAACTTCTGTGTTCATAAATTAGAACCTCTCTAAAACCAGATTTATTTGAAACATATAAGTAATAAACTTCAAATCAATTATAAAAACAATGTTTTTCAAAATTTATATGATCAGTTTAAAATGTGCATAGGCCTACAAAAAAAAAGAATTTAGGCAGAGAAATTGTGCATGCTGAGGCTATGTAATTTAAAGTATACAGAGCAGAATTAGAAAACTAAGGTAGACTTACGATCCTTTTTCCAAAACATCATAGAGGATTGTATTTAAGCTAAACACAATCAAGATGGCAACAAATATATGATAGATTGTTCTGATGTGACTGATTTCAAACAGTTCACTGAAATTTCAAAAATAGAAAAGATTGAATTTATTTGTATATTTCAGTTTCAGGTCTAATGTAAAATTTTGAATTAACATTAAAGCAAAAGAAAAAAATTCCTACGTTAAAACAGACCGCCTTGTCACAAACAATTTGTCTGGAAGATCTTGCTTTCTTCCCCTTAGAAGGAATATATATAAATTATTTAAATATATTATAGTCTAAGCCTTTAAATATTAATCTGTTAAAAAAATGATTGTGCAATAATGCGATGTTAGGCAACAACAAAACAAGGTGATATCTTGATCAGATTCAAACAAAGAATTATGACCACTGGTGTTTCAACAGATCACATGAACACAACCACAAGTATTTTAATGCACCAACATTAGACCACAAGTATTGTTACACAACATGGCAGCAACAAGTATTTTAAAAACAAGAGCCACTGACTTTTTCTGTGTTGACGTTAATTCACTTGTCTCCTCCCCAACCTCTATTTGCTCAACAGTTGATACAAAGCCATCCAGTAACTCTTCCAGCTGAACACTCATACTGTCTAGCAGGTCTGACTTGAGTTGCTGAAATAAAAATTATTTGAGTCTAAGTACAAATTTACATCAGCCTGGTTAGAATGAGGGGTGTCCAGTTCCCTCCCCGTAAAACAACCATAAAAATTGTAAGATTAAAATAAAGAGGTATTTTTAAAATACCTGAGCTCTGTCTCTTATTCGTTGATGATTTATTTGTTTCATTGTAGATTCTTGTGTTGACCCAGATTCTGCTATAAAAAACGTGATAATTTGATAAACAAATGATTGCATAATATTAATAGAGAACAGTAAAAATGTATAATAGCGCCCTCACACTTCCCAACAAAAGAAATTAACTTAAGGGTATTTTCCAGCTATCATTGCACTTGATTACACTTAAAGTAAGTATGTGGCTTAAAGAATGGACTTTACAAACAAAACTTAAAAATAGTGTTGGGAAAATATAAATTAGGGCATTAGGGCCTACTGTACTGATTTTAAGTGAAACATGACATTAATTAAATTAATAATTAAAAAAAAAATAATTATTAATATTATTAGCGTGTATTACGGCATCGTAATTTCTAAGGGCAACCATTTTGGAAATGGCGCTGACTTCCCTTTTCGCTTTTTGTCCCAGGCTTCCGTCACCGCCGCGCGTGAGTCTAAAAATAGACTAACGGCTTGTTCCAACCGGCATTTCGTTGACGCTCTCTGCCTTTCGGGTTTACTTGACATATTGGAAAATTTTTTGGCGGACGATATTTATTAATTTAGTTTTTCTTTCTTCGGAATATTGCTGTCAAAAATAGAGGTAATTTCATCACTTTTTTTCTATTTGAATTAGATTCCAGTTCTTTTTAAAATTTTGGTAGTTCGACAGAGTTTTGCAAATTTTCTTTAAATTAAGTCTGAAAACGGCTAATTTCCCACCAACAAGTCGTTTAAATGTACCTGCAAAGTCTGAATCGATAGCTTTGTAGCCGCCATTATTTTAAAAAGATTTTTAAAATATTGTATATTTAATAAGTTTTTTAAAAATAGCATTATTAAAAAAAACTATTTTACGAAAAAAAGTAATAAGGTTTAATAGTGTCATTAGGACTCATTAGGTAGATTTAGAATCTAGATCTAGATCTAGATCTAGAGATCTAGCTAGACTAGACCTAGACCTCTAGAATTTCTAGAAATTCTAGATAGATCCAGATTATATCATCTAGAAATCTAAATCCAGATCTAGAGATTCTATCATTCTAGTCTAGATCTAGTCTAGAGTCTAGTCTAGATTCTTAGAATTAGATCTAGAATCTAGATTAGATCCAGATGATCGTCAAGCTAGACTCTAGACTAGATCTAGATCACTAGGAGAGGCTAGATCACTATCACTAGATCAAGAATCTAGATCTAGATCAATTTATGAAACCTAGAATCTCTAGATTTAATAATAGATCTAGATGATGTAGATTCTTTATTCTATACATATTCTATAGTATAGTACAATTAAGTATAATTTTATTTTTATAAGCCTAATCTAAATTATTTTAGAAGATCTAGATCTCTATTAAAAAATTAATCTAATTTTCTAGATATAGACTCTAGAATCTCTAATCTACTTTTTTTTTCAGTCTGTGGTCTTGCAGCTCTTTGATAGAAATCTGAGTGAGAAATCATTCAGCCATCGGAATCACGGTTAGATCTTTCTGATAAGTGACATTACTTTAAGTGATCATAATTATTTACCTAATTATTAATTATAGACTACTTTTAATTATAGATCTACCTATTTAGTGTTAAGTAATTAAATCTAGATCTAGTTCTAACTTACCTCTACTCTAAACTCTAAACAATAGTAACTTTTTACTAGACTCACAATTTTAAAAACAAATGGTTTTTTTGTGTGTGAAATAAACCTAGTAGGCCTAGTCTATTTATTTTAAAAAAAACTTATGCCTAGATATCTATATCTAAATTTTCCAAATGCATTTTCAGAAGTTCGAATGAGGAGATGGAGATGGCTGGGCCATGTCCTACGCATGAGCAAAATATGACTCCCCCAACATGGCACTGGAAAATGAAAGAGGGGAAGACCACTGGGAACATGGAGGAGAGAGATGGAAGAAGAAGTGCAAGCTGCTGGCAAGACTTGACATGAACTAAACTGGCTCGCCCAGGACAGAGTGGAATGGCAGGAATTTGTTGCTGCCCTATACTCCACAGGGAGTGATGAGGATTAAGTAAGTAATTTGTAATAGACTACTAATGTAACAGACTTTTTTCTAACACTAATTGTTTATTTTAGTATACTACGTCATGACTTGATTCATCAACTTACAGCTATAAAATACAGTTGCACAGAACTTCCTTTATAATTCATATTTTTCTACAATAAGTAAACTAAGAAAAGATACTAAATCATTGCAGAGAAAGCAGACACAGATCCAGTGTTGGAAGAGGAAGTATTTTATATAAAAGAAAAAAAAACAACAGATGTCAAAGCAGGTATTGGCTGGTGCAGAAACAGCATGAAAGGGTAAGTTATTGATGATTTCAAACATAAAATATGCTAAATTGCAGGTTAGGTTTCAAAGAACAACTGGACATCTTCAGCAAGAGAATTGAGAACCAAGATTGATAGTGTTAAATGGGAGATGGATTTGCTGACAATGACAGAGTATTGAAGGAGATAGATGATGCTTTAAGAGGAGAAAGGGTCAAGATCTCAGTAAAGAATGACATTGTTCATGCAGAGAATCTCAAACTGATTGAGGAGTTTGACTGGGTCATAGACACAAACCAGTTACAGCACAAAATAGACACAGACATTCAATCTCGAATAAAGCAGATGAAGAAAAAGTTGGAAGCTATGGAACGCAGAGATACTGAAAATTCCATCTATGATATGTTGTCTGGATCAAATGTCTCAGTAAACCATCCCCTATTTCGTGGTGTTGACAGAAGCGGAAACCCTCTTTGTCAAGAATAGTGGGTGGTAAAGACCTGGTTGGTGTCCAGCTGACTGACAAGTGGGAGCTAGATGATCAGAAAGTGCATCGCTATTATGTGAGGATTATTAACAGAGTACTAGCTAAAAAGAACAAGTCTGTTGTCTACACTGTAGGCTACTGGGCACCGGATGAGGATGAAGATGAGGACTTTTGCCTACCTGCTGAGTCACTAATAGCTGACTAGATTAGTAGTGATCTCTGCTTTACATCCTAATCTGCTGTTAATCCTTGGACAGCATGATTATTAAAAATTTGAGCTTTAAAAAATAATTAATGTTTCATTTTAAATTTGCTTTGTTCCTTTGTTATATATTTTTATGTTTACAGTTACATGCAATGATTGCAATATTTATGTCTTTACAATATGTATATAATTTCTATTTTTTCAAAAGTGCGCTAAATTTTTTGTTAAAAAATAAAGGTTGGTATGTAATGACATGGTATTATGTTTTTAATCTTTTTTTTTATATTTTACTTATGGTATTCTAATTAGATACACAGTATAGTGTATAGTGTAAACAAATCAAATAACTTTTTTTTTCTTTGCAGATTTTTGTATCTTTCCTGGACTGATGACTTTCATTCAACCTGATCATTTTTTAATTTGCATCAACTAAAACATGTTATATAAATCACTTTGTTGTACTCGATCACACCTTAAACTTAAACCCATTATTACTTTGTACTTTTCATTGATAATTGAAATTTATATAATTGCATCTAAATCTAATAAATAAATATTTTTTGGAAAACAAACCATTTTGGTTCTTGTTATTTTTATCTTTTGTTTTAATTTGAAACCAGGTCTTGTATAAGAAATTATACTGGTGGATCTGTCAGAGTAACACCATGTTTGCACTTACCACATGAATACTATACATGTCTAGAAAAAAACAACTTGCAATGAGTAAGCCTTCATATACATGTACTGATAAAATAAGCTTATGCTGAAGTTTTTTCTCTAGACTTGCGCAATTCACAGTGCAACAACAGTAATTGGAAGTAAGCAGTCAATAAATAAATATATATATTAGACACTAAATTACATATTAAATATTTAGAATGAATAAATAATCATAAGAGAGATAATGGTTCCATTAATTAGTATCACTAGCTTAACTGATGAATTTGTATAACTTACTATAATGTGTTCAAGCAAGGTTAATAATATTGATAATCTATAGGCCTAACTATAAGAAGCAGCTGAATACCTTTGTAGAGGGCCTATATAAACTATATTATAACATTTTCACTATTTTAGACAATGGTATTGGTATGAAATTGTTGGACATGTAGGGCCTTGGCTTACACAAATGTTAAAATCTAATAATAAAAAAAAAATATTTTGCTACTACTACATGGTGGTTGTAATTCAAGTTTTCAGTAGGCCTATGCCTAATAATTTATTCAATTATTAATAGGCCTAGTTGTGTATAGTAAATATAATTTTTATAAGTCTAACTCATAATAAAATACTACATTAACAATTTATATTAAAATGACGAAAAGTCCGAAAATATAATTTGACGCGTATGACGTCATCCAGTTGTGTACTACCAATATCGGAGACACTTTTTTTTTTAATGTAAGAGGAAAAATAATGGTGGCAGGTTAATCCAAATTTTTTATAAACACAAAAATTTTAAAATCGAAATAGGCTAGGGGCCTAAATAAACTTTTGGTAGACACACACAGAGTATAAAAAGTAGTTTCAGTAAAAAATTACGCGTCGATCGGTATCTTTTCCTCCCGAAAATAGCGAATTTTCAATTTTCGAAATACACGCTAATTATTATAAACAACATTTCTAAAAAACTGTAAACAACAACATAGAATATTGATCAATATTGGTAATAGTAATTATATTTAACTTTAAAGTGAAGTGCAAAACTAAAATTTAAAACAATAAGGCTATCAAATAAAAGATATTTGTAAATATAAAATTAAAAGGGATAAAATCTTAAAAGTGGCCTACTTTTTAATTTCCCGTTCGAATTGTTACTATTGTCATTTTGATCTTTGTGTTCCTTTTGATCCAACATTTTTCTCGAATAAAGTTAAAATCTAGAAGTTTAATTCGATACAGGTGAGATTAAAATCTAAGCCTCCATGTATCTGCGTTCGTTTTTAGACACATAGATCTAGATCTAGATCTATGACATATGACTGAATTCACTGTGATCAACTGGTCCAGTTGTCAAATGTTTTCTTTCGTTGGCCTATGGAAAAGTCATGTGACAGGGGAAAATTTTCGCAGGTGAAAATGGAAAAAAGTTACCAGGATAAAATTTCTTCTCATGTTACCATCTTGCATTCTTGCAGAGGGGTGTCACCGGATTTTAGAATGATAGATAGATCTACTTTATGCTAAATTATCCATATCGCATCTCTTTAGACGATTATTATAGGAACACAATCAAACAGTAAGGGTTAGACAGTCCTTAAATTACCAATGTATTTTTAAAGACATAAGTGTAGTTGTGTCACCAGAGCGTAGATAGATTTTTGCAAACGGGAGTATACACACTCACACGTTTAATAGCCCATATAATGATATATATATATATATATATATATATATATATATATATATATATATATATATATATATATATATATATATATGAGCCGACCCGCGGCATATGGTAGGGAGCGCGCTTACAGCTTGTTTTTTAGCGTCTCCCAGAAGAGAATTATATATATATATATATATATATATATATATATATATATATATATATATATATATATATATATATATATGTATATGTGTGTGTGTGTGCCTATATAACACTGTATTTATAATAGTATTTTTTTAAATAAAAAATAATGGATGTCACTCGCTGTCCATGCTGTTCCTCACCCCTCTTGTGACACGACCGCATCATTGAATAGAACATCGGGAATCCACCTATGGCGATGGGTCCAAAGTATGCCGCATAATTTATTAGTGAAATTCGATATGCATCTGTGGACAACTAGCAATTAGATTAAAGTTAAATATAGGCCTACTATTGATTTTTTAAAATATAATTAAATCATACCCCAATCAATTAACCTTTTTGGCTATGGGGAAATATAAGATCAATGGCACGTTTTGACTTACTCTTTACGGCCTTACGCAAATAACATTTCCATCGACATAATTTTATCGTGTTAATCCTCATATATAAATTTCCGCTGATGCATCATGCACATACATACACACACTAAAGGGTTTTCAATCAAATGACGTCGCGTTCTGGGTAGGGATTTTGGACTTTTGGTGATGTTTGACTAGAGGTAGAGTACGTTAGAAAATTTGACGGCATACACTGTTTGAATTTTTAAAAAAAAGTAATTTCTGTGTAAGGCCATAACCATTTATAAAACGTTTAATTTATTCAGTGCTATTAATATACGCAATAGACTTCCTCGTAAACGTTAAAGACCCGCCGTAATTGAAAATGACCATAAATTTTTTGGTGCAATTTTGATACAATTTTGATTTAATTTAGATTAAAATCTACTCGGTGACAATATGTTGCTTTGTCAATATCCCACATATTTTTCTGTGTGTGTGTGTGTGTGTATGTTTCTTATCACAATATTAAGTTTCATGGTTGGAATAGCATTTCAAATACCTTTTTAATGTTACGATCAATCTAGAATCTAGATCTAGAAATTTGTGTCCCTTTCCCCACTTGAAACTATGAAACCCCACCTTGCAACTTAATAAGCACATAACTTATTAGTTATTAGCTTTCGTTTAGACAATTTATCAATATTGTTAAGATGTATTGAGTATTTTTTTTTTAATGTGTTTATTTCAATACAAAATACTTTATAAAGAGACAATAAACTTAATGCATATTTTACTTTTGTTGTAGAATTAGTTTTTTTAATGTAAATTTCAGTCAGAAATGTGGATTACATCACGATATATCATGTAAACAACTAATATAGGCCAATAGATATATTCTATTTGGCGAATTTAAATATTTTGATGTGGCAACATTGGTGCCAGGAGTAAATAATAATAATGACAAAATGGCGGAAGTAACACCCTATGCCGATGAATGGAAACAGCTAAATATTCCTATTCAAGATGCCGATACTTTGCGACAAGAAGCCGTAGAAGCTCACCATGAACATTTAATCACTGAAATCGAAACTTCTGAAGGGCCTTTAGCAACTACTTTAAGGTAAAATGTTTTTAGCGCTTAGATCTAGAATCTAGATTTCTAGATTAGATCTTGATCTCAAGTCGACTCTGATCCTGATGAGTAGTGATGAGTCTAGCTAACTGCTCAAGTTTAATTAAGAATTTAGATAATAATGAGTAGGTAGTTGACGAGTAGAATCTAATACGCCTACTTAAAAGTAGCTAAATAGCTAGTTCTGCTCTAGATTAGACTTAGAGCTGCTAAAGAATGTGGGTAATCGGTAATGATGTAATCTATCGTTTTGGGTACGTAAAATCGCCCGCGGCTTCTAATGTACGAAAAAGTTACCTCATTGTCAAGGCTTTAATAGAAGTATATTGCGATATATTTGTGTCACATATTGTAGATAAATGAATAATAAACCTAAATCAATGGTTAAATTTTAGGTTGAATTATGGATTTTTTTAAATAAAATATTCTGTTATTTCAAATACACCATTAACTTCCTTACCCCTTAAGAGAACATTTGACACCTCATTTAAATATCTAGCTTACTCGGTTGACGAGAAAATAGAGAATTTGAAAATTAATCAAAAATGGAAAATGAATGACAAAACAGCGTTCTTGGCCCTCGACCGGCATAACATTACGTCGTGGACTTGTGTACATGAGCTTTTAATTCCCGCCATGGTAATTGCGTCAGCTTAGGTAATTTACTCACCGGAAAATAACAAAAAGCAACTCGTTGATAATAAAACTAGATCTAGTTATTTTATTATTTATTAAATTCTACTCCACATGATATTCAATTCATACCATTTTATGAAGTAATGAACACCTGCATAAATCAAATGACCATAATAAGTATTTTTATTTCAAATTCTAATTTTAACTAATAAATATGCTTAAAATAAATGATAGTAATAGTTATGATAGTTTATAAATACAAATACATTTTACACTCAATTCACATTGTATTGAGTCAACAGCGTGGCAGCTGAGGTTCATACATGGTATTAGTGTCTTTTTTTTTTTACATTAAATTTTTTTTTTCATCTTGAAAACATGACGTATGTGATTATTTTTTTAAAATAAAATCTCCAAACATCGTCACTCGCGTGATTGCTTGCTTACGTTTACTATCCTATGGATGAAAAATCCCACCACGGTCGCGGGGTCACCGTGACCTATAGTACACGTCATAGAATGAACACGCGTACACGAGATGGTCGGTGTCTTCACTTCTCTCTCTCTCTCTCTCTCTCTCCCCCCCCCCCTTCTTCAAGCAAATTGAATAACAGACCTATACTTCCCTACTTCTGGTCATTTTTTTTTTAAAGTTCGGTCATTTTTTTTTTTAAAGTTCACATATCAGGCATGCTAGACAGCCAGCTGTATAAAAAAAAAAATGTAACTAGATCTACGTCTAGCTTAAAAAAATAAATAAACGCTTAAAATGACCGTAAACAGATTATTTAGCGCCAAAAAAAAATGCAGCTGAATGAGCATTTTTTTTAAAATACGCAGCAATGAAAAAGGCTAACGGCCGATCAATTAAGTCTAAAAATCGCCCGTAATTAGGCCTAGCTCTGAAAAAGGCCACTGAACAAGCATCACTGATTATATAAACGAATAGGCCACGCAGCGTTGACGAGGTTAATCACCGGTCACGAATGCAGCAACTGTCGGCCCACAGTGAAGAAAAAATCAATATACTAATAAAATTACTAATACAACAATAATGTCCATAATTTTACTTTTTCCACACATGCTACAATTGAATTATAATTAAAATACTAGACTTAACAGTTCATTCCGTAAAAAAACAAAAACTAGTTGTTTCAGTCTGGCAACTAGCGTAGCAATGACGTCATGATACTAAAAATAGCGGATAGAAATGTCAGCGTGGGTACCTCATTTTGGGATAAGATTTTGGAAACCAGAATCAATAATAATGTAAATCTACAAGGTAAATATCTCAATTATATATTAATTTAGAGGAGGTCGGGCCGTTTTCCCCGGAGGTCAGTCGTTTTTAGCGGCGGTTCAGTTTATACGGAGAGCGCTCCACTAGTAATCCTCTCATTATTTACAACAACAAATCTCTCGATTTTTTCTGGCATTCTAAGGCATATTATCCATTTTATTAGCATTCTGCATTAAAATAATGATGAGAATTTGCGAGATTAACAGTTTTTTCATTTGTCGTGGATAGGACCCCTAAAATAAACGTAAAAACCGTCTAAAAACGATGCGTGACGTTTCAGGGTCAGAGGTCAATCCAGCCATCTAAGCAACGCGCCAGACTATTAAATATATCAATATGGGTCGAAAATTAACTTTAAACAACAGTGTTTGCGCGTAAGATTTGCTATATAAACAGCAGCCATTTGTAATATAGAGTGGCTTTCCCTGAATCTCCCGTTATAAGTTTAACAAAATAAAACTTAAACAAGATGTCTGCTATAGTAAATAAGCATGGTTGCATCTGATGAAAACATCGCTAGTCTTCATTAATTACTAAAAAGTTTTAATTCAAATGTTCATAACCAGGTAGGCCTACAATAAATGAAACAAGGAAACATTGTTTTATTTTTCAAAACATAAATCCTCCTCAAAATGTGAAATAATTATTAAAATTTAAGGAGTCACCTGTTTTTCACATTACTAGTCGCGGGCGATTTTATGTACCTAAAACGATAGATTACCAGAATATGAATCAATAAGCCAGGTAAAAAGGTAATCTATCGTTTTAAGAACGTAAAATCTGCCGAGGCTAGTAATGTGAAAGAAAGGTGAGCCAAATATTGTCTAGCTATTTACCTATTTATGCAAGTTACGTCAAAAACTTTTACCACCTCACCGTATCACTTTTTGCATCTTGCATTTTTTTTTCCCCCTACCAAAAAGGAAAATTGTTAAAAATCCAGTCAAAATAGCATAAGATTTATTTTAATTTTAGTCATTCCTCTTACTTATTAGGACTGAACTCTAAATATTATAGTAGATCTATATTATACTGTTGTCTATTTTCATATGGTAGACATATTAGAGTATTTGTTGAGTCTTGTTACTTTTTTATACTTTTATTCGCCTACTATCTTCTTAAATTTCAAAATCTACAAGACTTACAGGCTGAGTCTGGATTTTAGTTATAAAACAACCAACTGCAAACAGTGTGAAAGCTAAAATACAAACTATTGTAACATTGTTTGTAGTGGTTTGTAGATATAGTAGAGAAAAAAAAGTGTATGGCAGGAAACAGATTCAACTTTTAAACATCTACTTTTAGGGTCGATTTTCGCCAATTTTCAAAGTAACAAATATTGACATATTATATATCAATTTTGTTGCTTAACAATCGAGGAATTCAAAAATATAAAAATTAATAGCACTAGACATTTACATCACGTTCAAAATTTAGATTAACCACACTCACTCAAATGACATTTTTTTTTACATCTAAATGTAGTAAGGTCTAAAATCCACGAAATTCACAAAATTAACAATGTAATTACACAGAAATGTCACTTAGGCATAAACTTATTTGTAATTATGTCAAACTTTACAAAATATACCAGTTTATAGCTTATTTCTATAATTATTCTTGAAAAAAAAAACGACCGCTATCCCCTTTAAAAAATGTTCAAAATTCTGGCTTTTAAAAACACTCTGGGGAAGAAAAAAATAACAGAGTTAAATATAGAAGGTCTATATAAAAAATATTATTAGTAAAATATGTCTATATGCCAATTTTTATTATAGTTGCAGCATTTACATGGCTAATTATAATTGTTTAGTACTTTATAAATTAATTTAAAGTTACGACTGTCTGTGGCCTCATTCAAATAGTGTGGTGTCAGTGAACAGGGTGTTAGTTAGGGCCTGATACGATTTCATTAGAATTGGTAATGAACAGAATGTATCATTAGAACTGGCCTATAAAAACAATGTTGATGATAGATGCAGTAGTTTTAATGCTACTTATAATAGATCAAAATGACAAACATAATTAAACCTAAGAATCTGGAAGCGGTGACCTCATTTTACTGACACGTTTGTCAAATAGTTAGTAAAATCGATCTAGATCTAGAATCTACGTAATTTTGAAAATACGCTAGATCTAGAGGCAAAATCACTTTTAAAAACTAAAGTTAGTGATTAGTTCTGTAATGAAATTGAAATCCACAGCTAATATGTAAGTATCTTTTGATTTAAAAAAAAATACGCGTAGTTCTAAGAAAAAAAATTTCTACGGTGTACTCGATCCCTATCCCAAAACGTGCCAGCCATATCGCATGCGTATTCAGCTACTCAGCTATTATCAAATCTTCGAATTTTAAATTTATATAATAAAAGTAGGTCACCCTAAAAAAAAAGAGTACAATGGCTCCCGTTTTCACGACAGCCGTCACTCGATTCATAATTTACAGAGTTATAAAGTTCTACTTTCTTTTGGCTATAGATTTGAAGAAATTTAAATTTGTTATTTCTCATGTGTTCCAACAATTGTACCTAATTTTAATAAACATTACATTAGTGAGGACTCGGTTCTTTTTAGGATTAGCCCTCGACACTATACAGACTATTGCGAAGAAACAGACTCGCGCGAATGTCGTGCGTAGGCTGGTTCAGTGGCGAAGGTTAGAAGCCAATTTCAGACGGAAAGTTTTTACTTTGAAATAATTACATTATCAATTAATTTCGATTTAAAACAAATGGCTTAAAGTCAAAAGTAAACTAACATTTAAAAACTTTGTTATTCGCAGTGTACTCAAGATTCTCGTGTTTTAAAGATAAGTCTAGTTTTACTACGTGTGCGTGCATGGTGCGAATACCGATTTTCCGCGACAGAAAATCATTAAAAATAAAAAATAAAAGTATCTACGGCAAAATAATAATTATATTTTACAGAATTAAATAGATTTAACTTAACTGTTATTTAAATACATGCTTCGGAGTAAAAAAATACAATTTTATATCCGTAAAAAATTAACTGAAATTCCCGCTTTCAGCGACGCCGATGTGTCGTAATTTTCGGCAGTCATTTTGTTCAAATTAAAGTAAAAAAACGCATTCAAATATACTTTTTTTTACTTTCATAATTTACAGCAATCATTTCTAATGAAAAATCCATAAAAAAAAAAATGTTATTTTTACAAAATATTATTTCTTACCTTATTAGTGCAGTACACGTACTTTCCAAGTAGATCCATTCCGTCTAGATTTGCATACTTCACATCCTTCGCCGCGGCACAAAATGTCATAAAAAACGAATTCCACAAAAATCTTGCTAACGAAGCTTGTAAAAACCTTGCTCTATTTATCAGTATAAACAAAATCCCCGAACGATGTCTGGTTAGAAAGTTTATGAACGGCGAAGACCGAATATGCATTTTGCGGTACCAATCTGTTTCCTGCCGTATACATTTTTAATCTAAAGGACAGGTTTTTTTTATTATGCCCTTAAGAAAAATTCTCCATTCAGTTGGTGATAATCAATAACCAAGAAGAGAATTAAATATATAGATGAGGTCAAGAACTCAATGTGGCCTTAACAAGTATTAGTATTAGAAATCTACGTCTGACCTCTGGCAATTAAACATTATTAATACTTCTCTTTCCATTTAAAAAATAAATAAGCACTACCCTATATTAGTTTTTGGTTTATGCATGTATTTAATTTAAAAAAAGCTTTTATTATAATGACCATTTATACTTCATAACATTTAATTATTTTTCTCAACACTTTCTAGTCCCAACATTAAATACTGGTAGACTCTTGCTATTAGAATAAATCACTAAAGATCCTATAAGCCTAAACTATTAGGATTGTGGAGTATACATACACTATACATGTTATTGAAACAGTATATTGGAAGTAAGTTTTGAGAGGTGAATTATAGTTTTATAGATATCCTCAACAGGGGGGAAGAGGGTCTGTCCCAAGAGAATACAGTGGGTTGGAGCTAAAATTAAGATTTTTTGTGTGGACATCATAAATGAATGACCGTTGAGAAAATAAACTGTTATACTAACAATAAAGATGTTGTTTACTTAAACTTTACTAATGTTACATGAATGAAAGGGATTGGAAGCTATTTGCACTCTAACTCTTCAATAATTTTAACTATACAGAGCAGTATATGATGGAGAGGATATCGAATATTTTATGGAAAAGCTGGATGCTCGCATCAAAGGCCATGACCATGAAATTGAACGTATGTGTAACTATCATTATCAAGGCTTCATTGACTCCATCAGGGAATTGCAGCAAGTTAGTGGAGATGCTACTAAACTGAAAGTGAGTCCTATATTGCTTCTAAATGACCAAACCACTGAAATTGTAATACACATGAAGGTTGTTAAAGGCCATGCAATGATGATGACCCTGTAGATTCCCAACTGACATCACATAATTGACCACAGTGACAGGTATTCAATCTGACCTTCTAGTGTGTACTTAGCTGACCTGTTATGTGCTCCCCTGTTGGTTAGTCTTGTGCACATCTTTATTGACTTAGCATTTCTGTACATAAGCTGACAAGGGTCAGTGTAAACAAACTACAACTGACTAGTTTGTTGTAGTGTTGGTTAATTTAGATCAAATAACTTATTTAAAAATACATTATTTGTTTCTCAGTCTAATAAAGGCTGGTTCACATACATTATTTGTTTCTCAGTTCAATAAAGGCTCGTGTACTCTTAGTTTTAGAGTGATAGTTCTGATGTGTATTTTTTTTTAAATAGACAAGATTAAAAGGTCACTAAACATGTTTTAGACTCTTTAGCTCTTTGCTTTCTGTCAGGTATCCAGATCCAAAAAACTGCAGTAGAACATTGGACGTGCTTCCCCCCCCCCCCCCCCCCCCCCTCAATTATTTAGGGATGTAGATAGGGATAATTAGCCATTGGAGTCTGTATAGAGAGAGATAGGTATTCTATAGGGGTAATTGACAAGTGAATACTGCACAGATGGGAGGTAATTTTCTGGTATTTTCTAGCTAAAACTAGTGATAATATAGTTAAACTGAGTGGTGGGGGGGGGGGGGGGGTAGAGCACATAGCTATTAACCCATAGCCTTGAGTATAGATACAGACTTGGGTCTTTTGCATGTCTCAGTCCACCCAGCTTAGATGGGTACCTGACTGATATTTGGGAAAGTAAAGGCAGAAGAGTATAGAACTGACCACACTATCCCACACTGGTAAACACAACTCCATCAGCCATATTTACCATCTGGTCAGAAAGGGTTGACCCTTTTTTTAAGGCTAACAATTATAATTATTAATTATGTTTTATTTATTATTCACATGGGATATCATGTAGTATTCTGTTTTGTAATTTTTTAGAGTAAAAATGTTTCCATTCATAGATTGTAAGGCTGTTAACAAGTATTATTTCGACAATTTTTTTAGGATGAAATAGAAGGTTTGAACAGAGAGCTTCAGCATTCCTGTGATCCACTGTTAAACAAGGGCCATCAACTGGTCAGATGTCGCAGAGTTCAAAAGAATGTGACCTTAGCTATAGAGAGTTTAACACATTGTCTACCAGGTATAAATCATTTTCACTCAGGTTATTTCCAAGTATAGTTTTCCAAGTTGAGTTGATGAATATTTTAAAAGTGACTGGTATATCACATTTATAATTTTCAGTTTTTGAAACAAGTTGAAAGCTACAAGATATTATATAAGTAACTTATATATCCCATTTTTGCATTTCAGTTTTAGAAATGTATGGAAAGCTACAAGAACAAATGAAGTGCAAAAGGTAAGGAAGTGATTCAACAGGCTATGTTTTGCAAAATTTTGAGTGGAATGTTCCTGTATGCAGGATATGAGGATTGACATTTTAAGTATATAGCGCAGTGGTGCAGAGAACAGTGACCTAATTACATATCTTATTGCTGTCATTTGAAGTTGTTGATGTTTATGAATATTATTCATCTCAAGAGGCTATTTTTAAATGGGATGTGCAACAGGATTTATGTGTATATTCACTAAGATTTATATATTTATTTATCATACCCTTTATGTATATTTATTAAAATAAAAATGTGTAACTTGTATTTTCCTGATGTTCACTAGTGCTGTTGTCCTCTTGATAAAAATGTTGACTATGTGTTCCAGATATTACCCTGCTTTAAAAACTCTGGAACAACTGGAGCACACTTACCTCCCTAGAGTCATCAACCACTGGTTCTCTCAGACAATGGCTGAAGCCATCCCCAGGCTTCGCCAGCGTATCAAAGAAGCTTCTATGACTGAACTTAAAGACTTCCTTGAGAGCATTCGCAAACACTCGGCAAAGATTGGGGAAGTTGCAATGAAGCATGTAAGTTGTATGTGGAATCACAATCCAATATTTCTTGTTTGAAAATTCCCATAAAAATGTATATACAGGTTACTGCTTTCTTAGGATGGAAATTGTTTTTCCTTGGATTTTTTTAGAATGTTGGAAGTCAGCTACATTTATTAAGTTACATTTCTACTCTTTTACTATTTCCACTTTAGCTTATGGATGTCTGAAGTAATAAAGTTACCCTTTCGAACCTGGCATTCCATGGAACATTTGAAGTAGTTTATCATTTTCTGTGACCTAGGTATATGAAGGGATAGTGTGGTCATGATTATCCCCAACCGCATTTACCCTGGGTGAACTCAGGGATGTTATTAGGACAATCAACTCCAGGATTGGACTTTTGGGTTAGCAGTTGTGTGCACTACCATCATCACATTGTGGACATGAAATATTTAAAAAAATATTTTTGTTTTGTTTTTACACCTTCAGGCTGCTGAACAAAACAATATGGATCCACAAATAGCCAGGAAGAAAATCAAATCCCGTAGAGCACCACCTCCACCAAATCCTTTTACAGGGGAAGTAGAAGCTGTGATAGAAGTTAATAATGATGTTGAATACAAAGAAGAGGTGATGAAATCATTTTTGGAACTTTTTTCAACATTTTAAGTACAATCTAACTTCTGAAACATTTTTTTTCTAATTTATAAATTTCTAATTCTCAGGAACTTAGTGCACAAGACCTTGTAGACTTTTCACCAGTTTACAGGTGTCTCCACATTTATTCATTGCTGGTAAGTCTAACAGTCTAGTTTATATATGTATAAACTAGACTGCTAGTGTATGTCAGGCAGTTTTGTCCAAGTTTGTGTTTGAGCATATTGGAAAATATAACATCAGGTTATAGTTTGAATTTGTTGAAGGAAATCTTTTTGAAGCATAAGAATATTTCATATAATGGTTAAATTATTAGTTTTTGAAATAGCAAAATTAGTCAAAAATATCTACTGTTGTCTTATCTCAAGAAGTAATAGAAATTGATTTTTTTCTGTACTAATTACTAATGATTTGAAACGAACATGAAGAATAGAAACCATGTTACTTAAGATTTAAGATGCTCAGCTTAAATTATCAACTTAGAGACTACCCAAACAAGTTGGTGTAACAACAACCTAATTGTTCCAACCAGCTGTAAATACTGAGTTATATTTAGGAACCATCCTAAGTCTATCATTATGTGATTTCTTCAACTAGATGGTACTATATGTCACTTTGTTCTAGACCTGATGATATATTTTTTAATAGCATTTGTTTCTGCTCAATAAAACTTGAGTGGATTCTGTTTGAGCTAAGATCTTCTATGCACAGGGTGATAAGGAAAAGTTTGAAACCTATTACAGAGCACAACGATGGAAGCAAGCTCGGCTGTCTTTACAGCCACCACCAAATATGGTAGGTCTCCTTCACCAAGTCACATTCAAACCTGTCACATGACTCACATGAAATGGTGCTTTACGACATATACTGTGCAACTGGTAGTTTTTAGGAAAAAGATTTAGATAGAAAAAACTTCTCGAGTTAAAATGAATTTTTTTTTTTTTTTAGAAAAATTCATTAAATTTGTAACATTTAGTTTAAGAAAATAGAAGTGATTGTAAAGTTGAATGTTTAACCACTTGATAGCTTTTTGTGCTGATCACACTGTTCATTTACTTTTCATTAACTTGCAGCACGAAAGTCTAGATTTATTCAAGAAATATTTCCATGATATTGTTGGGTAAGTTTTCTGCATTTTGCTTTTTTACACCTCATTAGATCTTATTCAGTCTATTTCTACTTTTGATGTTGAAATATCTTGAATTATTTATACTAAGTCACATTTCTCACAAGTAATTTTTATAATGTTTTGCTTTAGGTGTATTAACATTGTACCTGTATTCCTGTTGAAAACGATAGTGAGTTGATTATGATGATATGGATAATGCAAATCTAACTGTTAAAAGTGATTTTTTTTTTACTTTCAGTTTTTTTGTGGTGGAGGATCACATCCTCCACACCACCCACGGCCTGGTGACCAGGTCACACATGGATGAACTGTGGGAGAAAGCTGTAGAAAAACTCTGTGCTACGCTACGATCAACTTCGGTGAGATTATACTTCTACCTTTTTGTTACAACTTTGATGAACATTTTATCATATTTCAAATATTTAGAGATATTGGAAAATGTAAGCTACTATCGACTAGTGATTTTGTCATCATAGCTCAATCTACCTTTATTCAACTGATTGTATTTTATGTCACTTATTGTTAACAGTTTAGGGTCACGTTATTGATTAGTTTTCATTACATTATTATGGTGTATAATTATCTATAGAGCAAGTCAGCATAATTTTAGATTGTTATTTTGTTGTAGTTTTTGCATGATGTAGATTATGTGCTAAATAATTATTTTGATTGTAAGTCAATGTTTTAGATAATTCAAAAGACACCAATCAAAATATTTGGCATTGAGTTACTAAACACCACAAAAAACATGAGTCACTGATATGAAAACCACAAAACTTTACCACCAAAGCCAGCATCTGAAAAAAATAACAAAACTGTGTATGTGTTGTGTTGACTTATGCATGGGCTTTTGTTAGCTTGTATTTACATGTTGTTTTTATAGTTTACTTTCCAGGAAAAACCTGATAATTCTGGTGATGCCAATTCTATGAAGGAATTAACTAGCTATGAGGTTAAAGATCTACCTCACACATTCCTGCTAATCTAATCCTATGACACAATTCCCTGATCTAATTTTGTATTAACTACCAGATTTTATTTCATACGTTTACACCAATCTAATCCTGTCCCAAACTTTTCCACTTAGTGCATGTTTGATTTTTGTTCAATGACATATTTTCAAATTAAATAAATGACTTATTTCATGCGGAAATATGCAAATATACTAAATATTAAATACATATTTTGAAAAAATACTTATTTGCTTGAAATGATTAAAAGTTTGATGAAATTAAAATGTTGAACTATTGAAAGAACACACACCTTTTTAACCTTTGCTAACCTGCCTGATCTAGCATGTAATCTTCTGTTGATCATCATTCATTTTTAAAACCCTTGTTGCCCCACAATTTTCAGCATGTTTTTTTTTCAGCACACAGTTATACAAATTTTTCACAGAAATAAAAAATAACTCTTAAGTTGTAATTTTCATGTATTATGCCATTTTATATTAAGATATATTATTTAAGGCCTTTAATTAGGCTATTTAAAATTAGATTGTATAAACAGATAATTATAAAAAACATGTTTATAGCAAGAATTTTTTTCAAAGCTGTGGTTGCATTGCTAAACTATTTAAATTATTAAATTGATACCTAGATGTAAGGATTATTTAGGTGACATTCTTACCATTCACCCAGATTAAATAAATTTGAACTATATAAGTAAAAATTTATTCGCTGCTTATGCTCCTAGTACTATACATCTAAACTGCCATCATCAAATATGCACAATTTATTATTTTATGATTCATCATATTTTATGTCTGCCATTTAAATTTAAGTCAAATTGCAAAGAACTTTTTAAATTGAATCACATGAAAAATACATTAGTGTGTTGCTATTTGTTGCTTCAAACCCTAAACCATAATAATTGTTTTAAAAGCACATTAAGTTATGACACTATTTTAAAAGATGTTTCAAAGTAAAAATAAAATGTCTTGAATATGTTAGAGCAAGGAGCTTTTAGATTTTTTTAAAAGTAGATTGATTTTGTCTTGGTTGTGTAAATCCGAGCTTTGTTCATTTTCCCTCAGCAATCTTGTAAAGCTGCAAACTTGATGTTGGAAGTCAAAAAGTTGATTGTTTTATTTTGTCATACACTGAAGGTGAGATACATTTAACAAATAATGTTCTGATTTCAAGCTAAGTTTTGGACTTGACTGTGAAGTATTTTAAAACTAAAATATCTTCTTCTCTCTAAAGGGATATGGTTTTAGTGTGGGAAGACTGTTGGAACTTCTACTAGAAATGAGGTATTTCATCCAACTTGTATTGCATGTATTATAGTTAGAAATAAACAGCAGTTAAACTGAATGAGTAACTGTTGTTTTTGTCCACTGCAGGGATCGCTACAGCGTCATCTTGTCTGAACAGTGGGTGGATGTGTTTGCTGCCATCTTTGCTGAAGATAATTACACGCCAATTTATTGCATGGAAGCTGAAGAATACACTGTCATTTCCAGTCAGTTTCCATACAGGGATAAAGATTTAGAAGAGGTCAGTATTTATAAAAAATGTACAGCTATATGAAGAAAAAAAAGAAAAATTATGAACTCTACTGCCCAAAGGAATGCTAGGTCTAAAGCGGATTCTTTTACTCTACTTTCTATATGGAAAAATAGTGCTCACTTAGTTTACATAATTTGGCATTGTTGATGTTTATGTATAATTCAAAAGCATTTTTCCTAAAGGTTTTATTTAATATTTTCAGGCTGCCTTCCCTCGACAATTCCCCTTCTCCCAGTTTGTGCCTAGTATTTATGTACAAGTTAAGGAATACATCAATGCCTGCCTCAAGTTTTCTGCAGACTTACATCTAAGGTATGGCCAGAAGAATTTTTTTTTACTTTTTTTCTAAAGAATAATTCAGGTTTAAAGCATACGACAGGCAAATAAAAATAGACTGGTGTAATTTTGTAAAAGTTATAATAGTTATGTGTGTAACATATTGCAGTCACCCAGACAAAAAAAAAGTTATGTAAATGTATGTGATATTTTGCAGTCAAACAAAAATTAATATCTATGTGAAATATTTCAGTCATACAGATATAGACCTCTATTTGATATGTTTCAATCACACAGAAATTTGTATTATGTGATTTGTTCAGTCATACAGAAATGTGTATTAAGTGATTAGTTCAGTCATACAGAAATATGTGATACATTTTAGTCGCACCGAGATGTGTATTTTGTGATATGTTTCAGTCACACAGAAATAGATGACATGATACGGAAGTCTGCCAACCAACTGTTGACGAAAACACTAGGTGGCTGTCTGTCTAATCTTATCAGGAAACCTAATCTCAGCTTGTTACAGGTAAACTAAACTAGGTTTTTATAAATAATATGGATGGTTATGTGGCTGCTTTTAGAAAGATTTTGTAATAAATACAAACATTGAAAGTAAAGAATATTTCTTTGCTTTTTTTTTAACTGGGCAAAGTATTAGTCTCTTTTTATCCCAGTAAATCTTAGCTCAGCTTTTTTTTTTAATTAATCATTTCCTCCTTTAAAATTCTTCTATTTAGATTTAATAATAATGTAATCAAATAATTGTAATTACTGAATCTTATTAATGAGTTAAAAATGGCTTTTGTAAGCATTATTGTATCATACATTGATAGAATAATCAACGTTAAACTTATACTCACTACACCAAACCTTGAATTAATTGTAAATCATGAACTTTTTTCCCAGCTTATTCAAATATCCATAAACATGAACTACTTGGAAAAGTCCTGTGAATATTTTGAAGAATATATATCCAGTATTACAGGGTAGGTGAAATTATCCAGAGGCTCTATAGCTTTTTTATATTTGGGCTAATTAATTGAGGCTTCCTGATTCATTTATACTCAAGCAGATGATTGTTGATAAGATTATTATCAAACTGGTGCTTGTTGTCTGTTTAGATTATTGTCAAACAAATGCCAAACATTATCTTATTGTCATTTGAGCAGACTTAACAGAAAGTGTTCAATAGAAACATACCAAATACATTTTGGTAAGCCTAAGATGCTACACATTTAGAAGTTTAAAACAGCATCATTGAAACCAACATCTACCACCCCACTTCTGGATTTATTGCCAAATAATCATAAAACAATTGTTTGTGGTTTTATGTTTGCTATTCCTGTAATGTGAAAAATATCTTTTTGAATGTATAAATTTCAGGGCTGAAAAAGACAGTGTTCATATAGCAAGACTTCATGGCTCCTCTATGTTTAAGGTCAGCTTGAAATAAGTTCATTCAAACTGTGCTGATATTTAAGAGAATCAATGTGTCTAAAACCTTAAGTTATTTCATTATATTTTCAAGAATGAGAATTTATTTTTATCTATATAAAGATTTCTTACTCTACATGTGTTGACCTATAACTAATATCAACAAACATATTTAGAAAATATAAGTTACAGTAGTAGCTTATATATTATGTAAAAAATTCTGTTTGTTATGGTGGTAAAACCAACCTTACAATGTTTTTACTTGTTGACAGGATGCACGTGGCGAAGCAGAACAACAGATTTATCAACAGCTGAACCTTAAGATTGATGAGTTTTTGGATCTTGGTAAGTAGATGAACTACACAGGATTCTTAACAATACAAATCTCATTCTTATTTTTGCTATGCAGAATAGTTGCTACCACTCTGGTAAGCCAATACTAATCCATGACATTTTCTAAACTATGATATATTCTAAGCTATTACATTACTCAAACATGACATATATTAAACTACGATGGATAGTGCCATGACATACTTAGCCATGACATACTTAGCCATGACATATACTAAGCCATAACATATACTAAGCCACGATGTATACTAAGGCATGATATACAATTAGCCAATATGTATACTAAGCCATGGCATATACTAAGCCACAACATATACTAAGCCATACCATTGAACTCTCTACCAGCTTCCTATGACTGGACAATCTCAGAGTCCAAAGGTCAGGCCAGCAGTTACCTCATGGACCTTGTAGCATTCTTACAGAGCACATTTATGTCTTTCACTAATTTGCCAGTAAGTAAACATAGAAATTAACGTATTACATTCATTTTTCATTACGCTTTTTTCCCCACGATATTGGTGAGTTAGATTGGTGATTTTAAAAATATCTGTTCTTTCTTTATTAAAAAAAAGTTACAATAGTTAAATTGCTGAAATTTCTATCTGATAAATGTTTGAATGAGTCATTTATTTTGACAGCTGGAGATTTGGATGATATTTGATATATATTATTATTATAGATGGCTAGTGGTTAAAAGTTTTTGGATGTAGTTTAGTCGTTTAGAGTTTTTTCACCTCAAATTAGTATAAAGCCTCTGAAGCATTAACAATTTAGGAAGTTCTCTCCCGTACAAAATATAAGAATTAAGCCATTTTGAGGGAACATTATTTTTTTCTATTATCCCTGGGCTTTGGTCTACAACATGACTATGTTTCTTGGGGTGTAATCGATGAGATTTTGAAAAAATGGAGTGTAGTGACTTAAGGTTCTACTTGATAGATGTAGTATATTGGTGCTATATGTAATTGAAAAAAAGAAAGCTACCATAAGTAATTAATTTTTCTGTCTTGCTCATAGGTATTTCATTTCCACTGGAAAAAATATGTTGTAAGAACCCTCTGATAACTGTAGCATGGTAGTGCATCATGTCTGCTCCCAGCATGTTCAATTAACATGCCTGATTTTTGCATGTCAGACTAACAGGCCTGATTTTAGTTGGGCTGGCTATTTGCCTGCCCCAAGTATAGCTGGCTATTTGGCTTGTACCAAGTATAGCTGGCTATTTGGCCTACAACAAGTATAGCTGGCTATTTGGCTAGTACCAAGTATAGCTGGCTATTTGGCTCATACCAAGTATAGCTGGCTATTTAGCCTGCCCCAAGTATAGCTGGCTATTTGGCTTGTACCAAGTATAGCTGGCTATTTGGCTCGTACCAACTATAGCTGGCTATTTGGTTTGTACCAAGTATAGCTGGCTATTTAGTTGGTCGTTAGACCTGCTCCTACAGTGGCAGAATAACCTGCCTGCTCCTACAATGGATAGGCATAATACATGTCTACCACAATGGCAGAACAGCATGCTTACTTCTTAAAATTGTTTGAGTAAAGAGACACAACGTAGTAAGATAAAGTCTGTCTAGTAGAAGAAAAGGATGTTTCTGTGTACCATTATCTGGGTGGGTACCACTGGTGACTAGCTGGACTCAAGTTTTAGGCTGAGACAAAGCAAGCCAAAGTTGGTGGATTAAACACAGGGGTAAAAGCAGTAGCTACAGCATCAAGTGCTGACTGTGCTGTAGGGACTTGAGCACCTTTATGTCACTGGATCACCACAACACAGTTTCTCTATCTTGTCTCACAAGACTAAACAAGAACAAAAGCTAATTCTGTTTCTGTAGGTGCTAATATTTGCACATAGGTGAATAATTGCAAAAATAGGATAAATCTTTGACTGAATGCTTCCATTCATGCTTCCTTGTATGTGAAGTTGTTTGTGGTTGTCACATTTAGATTTGGGTCTTGTACCTAAATTTGTTACAAAACTCCATGTCAGGCTAGCCAGATAATTTGTTTATAAATAAATATTTCTGCAAATTGGCCTATTCTTATAAACACTTTTGGAATTTTTTAATTTAATTTTCAATTTTAGAATTTTTGCCTTTAACATTTGTGCATCATTTAAAAACACATCTTTTTAATGTTATGCAAATTGACAGTTTTATTTTATTCATATTGCCATTGCTTGCAAATATTAATTTTTAAAATGTCCCCAAGATTCATATCTAGCCATAGTTTAATCAGTAGATGTTTAACAAAATGAACACATTCTCTTACCTCCCCTCCCCTACTTATTGTTGACATCGTGTATAGATTTAGATAGCTACAAATCTGACAGTTTCCTAACACTTTTTTAATCTTATGGATTGAATTTTTAATACTACACAGTTATTGTGTGCTTAAGAACAGCAAACCATCAAATATAGCAAAAGCAGATGAGAAATGTGTATTTAAGAAAAAAACTTTGTAACAGTTAAACATAACTTCCATGTACTTATGGTTTAGTAGATTTTATTTAACTTACAATTTGAAGAATGTAGTTGATGTTGCTATGGTTTACAGGAAAAAGTAGCCAAAACTGCATGTATGTCAGCCTGCCAGCACATTGCCTCTCGCCTGATGGCATTGTTGGTAGATAATGACATTCGTCAGATGACCATGGGAGCACTTCAGCAGTTTAACCTAGATGTCATGCAATGTGAACGTGAGTCACCACAGGCTTTTTTATTAACTTATTTATTTCTTAACCTAAAACCCTGGCCAAACTGATAGTAACCTAAAACCCTGATAGTTTACTAGCCAAACTGGTAGGAACCTAAAACCCTGATAATTTTTTGGACAAACTGGTAGTAACTTAAGACCCTGATAGCTTAGATTGTTTAAATTGTTCATTAAATGCTAAGGCTTACCGTCTTCATAATTTTCTAGATTTTGCTGCATCTGAGCCAGTGCCTGATTCAAATGATGGAACTCTACAAATGGCTTTCACAGATCTGAGACAGGTGGATATATTTGCCCCAATACTTTTGGTCATGGCTCTTATGTATCTAATGCAGAAAGTCATAGTCTGTCTGTAGCTGAAGATTATCAAACTTTTTACTTTCAGCTGTTAGATCTTTTTATCAACTGGGATTGGTCTGTCTACTTAGCTGATTTTGGCAAACAACAGTCTCGCTACTTGCGTGTACCCAGGCACACAGCCATTAGTTTATTGGAAAAGTAAATTGCTTTTTGTACTAGTTCAGCTTTATTCAGCAGTTGATATGTTGTTTGTATGGTGGTTCTGGCTGGTGGATGGTGTGGCAAAATTTGATTGGTGATTTGTGTTTGTGTGGTGGTTCTGGCTGGTGGATGGTGTGGCAATATTTGACTGGTGATGTGTGTTTGTGTGGTGGTTTTGGCTGGTGATGTGTAGCTGTGTTAGACAGTGTTAGATTAAATGAGATGGGTGATAATGTTGAAAAAACATTGTAAAAGTGATGAAGTTTAACAAAAAATAACTTTAAATGAGGTCTAAGCATACAGCCTACATTTGTATGTCCTTTGTATTTTTCTTTTATTTCCTCAGTGAACATGGTTCAATCTACAATATGGTTCCTGTTTTATGACATTGTTCATATACTTAGCAGCTAAAATAACATCCCTTTTTTGTTTCTTTTTCAGGTTAAATAATGGAGATAAAAAGAAAAATAATTTGTTTGCATCATTAAAAAAGAATGAACGAGATAAGAAAAAGTTGATAGAAACGGTTTTAAAACAACTTAAAATATTGGAAAATGGAGCAGCTTAATTTTGTTTAAAGAATCAAATCCTTAATTAACAATCTTGATTGCGATATGCACAAGTTATGTAAAATACTCCAGCAGCCATCTTTATAATCAACTGTTTGGTCTAGCAAAGATGCTGCTGATGTAGCATTTAAGAAAATATGGATCAGCCTTGTGGTATAATGGTCTAAATGACTGTTCAACTCAACAAGCATAAAAAATTACCTTGATTTGTACTGGTTATGTAAACAGCACAAGCCAAACAACAGTTATGTAAAGTATTATTTACATATTAAACATTTCCATAATTTAAATATAAAATGTCATTTCCTGTTTAGTCGATCACTGTATAGGTGCTGGAAATGCTCTTAATAAACTTATTTGCTAGACATTAGTTTTCTGTGATAGAGTTTTGCTGGGCAATAGAAATCTAGTCTGAAAATACAATTACTGACTGCCTTGGTTGGAGATAGCTTCTTTTAATACATAGACGCCTTATAATAACTTATATACCCCAACCCTAACACTGAAACTAGTAGTCTCCCTGACACACATTGTAACCTCCAACCAGTAGCCTACCTGTCATATACTCAAATCTGCAAACCATTCCCAATAATACAAATATCTCCTCCCTTCCCCCCAACATGTTAGTCTACACTTGCTGGGGTTTGGGCCAGTTACAATAGAAAATGACATAATGCTATTTTACTATGAGTGTATTTTAAACTTGTTTTATTTAATAGTTACCTTGTATTATATGTTGGCTACTATGTATGTCAAATTGTCTTTCACTGCTTGCTGTAGAACCACTATGTGTTTGCCAGTTATGGCTGTATCTGCTGTTTTTTTTATATGGAATAATGTAAAATAAACAATTGTACATATGACCTCTTTCTTGTTTTGACTCTTTTTATTGAGCCCTATGATTCTCAGTTGGTTTTTTATTGGGCCTAGGCTTTTCAGGAAAATGTTTTTAGTCAGGAATGACGGTCAGGATGTAAAGAACAGATTTTGTAGTAATTGTTTTTAAAATTTAAAAAATATATTTACATTTACTAGATAATGAAAAGAAAGAAAAAAATTAAGGTAAAAAACATTATGTTTAATAAGTTTATACAGCAAAAAGAAATATTTTTCTTGCCATACAAAAAAATCCATCAACCAACACTAATTTTTTCTTTCTTAGAAGATTCTTATTAGAAAGTTTTTCTCACACAATTTTTGTGCGGATCATGGATGAAAACTATGACTGAACTGTGACAATGAACTGATGAAACTAGACGGTGATGTGCTAAAACAGCTGTTGTAATGGATTTGCTTAAGCATTAAAGTATTGATGTGATAGTGATAAACAATATTTAAATGACCACAAACAAAATTGATAAAAAAACAAAAAAAAAGGATTAGATTTATTTTCATAAGTACAATTTTAATTAAGCCTTTTAAAAATTCTGCATATAGTATTAAATAAACATCAACTTGAATAAGATAAAACTTTTGGGTCGAGTATATAAGGGTATTCCTCCCAAAATGATTTACCTATAATATCAGTATGAAGAATTACAGAGTTGGTACTGTTTACTGTGTCAACTCCTGCTCTATTCTGAAAATGAGACCAGATAATTTAATTTTATAAAAAATCACATTTTTTTTTCTACTATTAGTATTACCAGTCAATGGGTTGTAATGGGACATATAAAAAGAAAATGTACCTTTGGTCTGATCAAGACACTGCCTTTCCTATACAACTCAGGCAGGTTATTGTAGTTAATGTTGAACTCAGAAAACAGGATCTCATTTTTATCACCAGACAGAGTGCCCTGTATGAATCAAAACCTCATTACATGATGCATTGTAATTGTTACTTATAATAAAAAACATCGTGTTTGAAGTTAATGCATTTAAAAAAAATACTTTCACAAAACAAATTGAAGAACAAATAATCTTTACATAGTAAAAACAAAATAGACAGTATTTATAGAAATAGCTGAGAAAAAAAATGAGCCAGAATACTAAAAGAGGCCTTCTACTGTATTTCTTACCTTGAGACGTTCTTGTGACTCTGCTGGTGTTAGACCTTTTTCTTGAATTAGTGTCCAAAAACAAGTGTTGTACAAGTTGTTTATGTGACCTACAGAACAGCAAGTCATTTATAGTTATAGCTTACATATTAAGAGATACATACAGAAGACCTACTAGAAACATTTAGAAGTTGATGGACTTGTATACAAAGGCAGCTATTTATGTGATCTACATAAAAATACTTATAACACAAATTGAATACATCTTTGATATGACTAAAAAGTATGTTCAATTGTGCTCTCTGAAGGTAAGAAAACCATTTGGTCTATCTAACAATTTAAAACTGGCCGATCTAAAAGACAAAAAGACCATCTATTCTAGCTGGCCACTTACAATCTGCCTGCCTCCAGCTGAGGTAGTCCTTGAGGTTGTCATCACTAGGATACAGAACTATTCTAGCATCAAAAGATGGTGGATACTGGAGCTGCTGCTGATCAAAGTAGCTGGACCAGTGGAATGTGAATGAACTTGCAAATAAACTGACTACATTGGTCATTATTTTGCTGGGGAAAAACATAGATGCATCTAAAACAAAAATGGTAAATTATTTACAAGAGTGGTTGAACTATTTGTCCAGAATCTCAGTAAGGTTTTCTGTGGTCTAACTTTACATTTTTTTGTCGTTTAATGACTTGTAATGAAAATAAAAAGTTTTGACCTCAGGTAAACTTTAAGCATAAGCTGATTTAATGAAAAACTAGATTTTAGGTAAGCCTCTAAGGTCCACTCTAATGGGTACCTGGTGATGTAAGTGATGAAGCTGGGATAACATTGTGTAGTCACTCTCTCAATTAAGTTGTTATTGAAACTGACATTCTGAACACTCTTGAAAAGGTGCTTTAATTTATTGCAGACAGTAAACTTGTTACACAAGTGAGAGCAAATTATTCTATTCAAACCTTGCTCTTCTGTTGTAGACTTTAGCTTGTTTATTAAAAACAAAACTGTACTCGTCACTCTGTCCATAAGAAAGAACAATCTCATTGAACTCCTTCATGACAACCTGTGCTGCTTTGGTCATCAGACCCAAGCCTCTGTCATCATTTGGCTTTGCATACTGATGTACATCTGTGAATCTGTAAAATGTATGTATGAAAACTGAAAAATGTGCATAAAATACAAAAATTACATTGTTACATGTTAATACAATTTTTAATTGCTTATAAGAATCCAGTATAATGCTTCTCTTGAATGTGACCTTACATTCTTCATTCAGGAACCTCAAGATCATTCACATTAAAAAAAAACAATTACACGTACAAATTATATATTATTTATATTTTAAAAACTGAATGAATATTGACATGATAAATATTAGCTGCCTTATTGAGCTTCCACTTGACTGTTAGACTGCCTCGTATAAAAAAATTTGCTTTAATTTTTGTATGCAACAGCTGAAAAAGAAACCTACTATTTAACCACTCATCAAATCTGAATTTATTTTAACTGCTCTCCCCATACTCAAATACAAGAAACTCATCAGCTACCTCTGAACACACTTTTTTTTACAAACAACTTACTTATGAAAAGCTTTTCCATCAATGCGAACGACAATCCAACAGTTTTGAAGACAGGGATCATCAGCTTCAAACTGTTTGACATATTCAAACTTGCTTTTAGCCATAGATGTTGTAGAGTGAATGTTTTTTACAAACTGCAGTCCAGCAAGACCTAGAAACTTTCCCACACAGCTTTCCAATGGGGCTACGCCACTTAAGGTTCTCACTAAAGAGTTTACGATAACTAAATTTCTTTCTTGATGTGTTGCTAAAGATGTAGCAATATATTTTCTAAGAAACTGCATGGATTGGGCTTTTTATGTCTACTTCAACATGTTTCACTTCAGAGATATACTGTTACTCGTCAACTTGTTGAATTTTGCCAATCTAGAAGGCCCTATTTAAAATACAAGTGTAAAAGTTAGTAAGTTGAAGTAAGTTAAGCAAGTAGTGCTTGTAGTAGTGTATCTATAAATCTCTTCTATCTCTAATGTAATATTAAATGATAAGTACTAATAAGCCTAAGTAAAAATTCAGGTTATAATTATATCGAGTCGCTTATAGTAGAAATACTATAGGCCTAGTAATAATAGAGCCTATATACTATAGGGCCTATAGCCTAAATATAAGGCATTAGCCACTATAACTATAATATATATAAGTAAGCCTATCCTACTACTAGATCTAGATCACTAATTAATACAAATAATAACAATACTAACTATTTGACATTTGTGGTAGTATTTACTATTTATTTCGATTATTATATTATTTATTATTAGATCTAGGCCTATCTACTACTACTTTCTAGATCTAAAACTTTGGTAATCTATCGTTATAGGTACGTAAAATTGCCCGCGGCTAGTAATGTACGAAAAAGTGACCTCATTGTCAAGGCTTTAATAGAAGTATATTGTGATATATTTGTGTCAAATATTATAGATTAATGAATAATAAACCTAAATCAATGGCTAAATACATGAATATAGGCAAGAAATTAACTTTAAACAGCAGTGTTTGCGAGCAGGATTTGCTATATAAAAAGCGGCCATCTGTAAGAGTGACTTCCCCTGAATCTTGCGCTATAAGTTTACAATAAAAAAAATAAACAAGATGGCTGCTCTAGTAAATGAGCATGGTTGCATCTGTTGGAAACATTGCTAGTCTTCATTTATTACTGAAAAGTTTTAATTCAGTTGTTTAAAAACAGGTACATAAATGAAACAAGGAAACATTTTTGTATTTTCTCAAAACATAAATCCTCCTCAAAATGTGAAATAATTATTAAAATTTAAGGAGTCACCTGTTTTTCACATTACTAGTCACGGGGGCGATTTTACGTATCTAAAACGATAGATTACCAAAACTTTTAGTAAGTTACAACATACAAATACGGTACTTTATTTTTTATTCACTTCTGATCCCCCCTCTCTCTCTCTTTCTTGGTAATTAGATCTATCAGTAATATTAACTTTTCCACTAATTTTTAGAGAAATGAGGCAATAATTAATAATCATGAGAGACTCAGGACAGGGAGTAGTCAGTTCGAGACGTCGACGAGGGTTTTCATTCAGCTGTCAGTTTTCATGTGGAGTCTAATGTTTAGGAATTTTAATGTTTAACTAAAAATGATAAGAAATTAAGCTTATTATAATTTAATTAAGATCTAGATCTAGAATTTTGTTTTAACAGCTTCCAAAGAAACGAAAAATCTAGACTCGTATGAATTCAGAATACTGAATAGACATGAGAGGTTGAATAATATTGTAGTTCTTTCCCCTAGCTCGAGGTTGCCAGAAAAAAAAGCACACGTAGGGGCCAAAGGAGTTCAACAATAATCAAGTTAGTAAACAGTATGCCTATACATTTTTGTTCAACATTAATAAATACAAGTGCAAAATAAAATAGTGCAATTATGCCTAATGTTTTTTTTTCAAAATTACAACGTATTAACACACGAAAAGGCTTGATTACATTACAAAATGAAAGTATAAAACTGACACAAATGTAATAATTTTCTAAGTAGAGAAACGTTCGTGTGTAAAAAAAAAAATTAGGCTACATCAACCACTTAACTTAATGCTAATGTTAATAGCGTATTTGCCTATTTATTAAGCCTCCCAAACGCATCAAAATTACGCAATTATAGGCTCAATCTCATTGATCACGTCTACCGCACACATTGCAAAAGCCTACGCTTTCATCTCATACTTTTCGTCGCTGGAGGAAATTAGAAATCGACGGTTAGCAGTTGGTAGGGGGGGGGGGGGGGATAGAAAAAATAAATAAAGCAAGGCTATCATTAACTCGCTTAGAATATACAGAGGCATCACAACACATGGAACAATGGTTTCAGTGGTGCATATATCAGTTGTAGGTGGAGCATAGACCAGAGCTGTAGGTGGATCATAGACCAGAGCTGTAGGTGGAGCATAGACCAGAGCTGTAGGTGGAACATAGACCAGAGCTGTAGGTGGAACATAGACCAGAGCTGTAGGTGGAGCATAGACCAGAGCTGTAGGTGGAGCATAGACCAGAGCTGTAGGTGAAGCATAGACCAGAGCTGTAGGTGGAGCATAGACCAGTGCTGTAGGTGGAGCATAGACCAGAGTTGTAGGTGGAGCATAGACCAGAGCTGTAGGTGGAGCATAGACCAGAGCTGTAGGTGGAGCATAGACCAGAGCTGTAGGTGGAGCATAGACGAGAGCTGTAGGTGGAGCAGAGCTGTAGGTGGAGCATAGACCAGAGCTGTAGGTGGAGCAGAGACCAGAGCTGTAGGTGGAGCATAGACCAGAGCTATAGGTGGAGCATAGACCAGAGCTGTAGGTGGAGCAGAGCTGTAGGTGGAGCATAGACCAGAGTTGTAGGTGGAGAATAGACCAGAACTGTAGGTGGAGCATAGACCAGAGCTGTAGGTGGAGCATAGACCAGAGCTGTAGGTGGAGCAGAGCTGTAGGTGGAGCATAGACCAGAGTTGTATGTGGAGCAGAGCTGTAGGTGGAGCATAGACCAGAGCTGTAGGTGGAGCATAGAGCAGAGCTGTAGGTGGAGCATAGACCAGAGCTGTAGGTGGAGCAGAGCTGTAGGTGGAGCATAGACCAGAGCTGTAGGTGGAGCATAGACCAGAGTTGTAGGTGGAGCATAGACCAGAGTTGTATGTGGAGCAGAGCTGTAAGTGGAGCATAGACCAGAGCTGTAGGTGGAGCATAGACCAGAGCTGTAGGTGGAGCATAGACCAGAGTTGTATGTGGAGCAGAGCTGTAGGTGGAGCATAGACCAGAGCTGTAGGTGGAGCATAGACCAGAGCTTTAGGTGGAGCATAGCTGTAGGTGGAGCATAGACCAGAGCTGTAGGTGGAGCATAGACCAGAGTTGTAGGTGGAGCATAGACCAGAGCTGTAGGTGGAGCATAGACCAGAGTTGTATGTGGAGCAGAGCTGTAGGTGGAGCATAGACCAGAGCTGTAGGTGGAGCATAGACCAGAGCTTTAGGTGGAGCATAGCTGTAGGTGGAGCATAGACCAGAGTTGTATGTGGAGCAGAGCTGTAGGTGGAGCATAGACCAGAGCTGTAGGTGGAGCATAGACCAGAGCTGTAGGTGGAGCATAGACCAGAGCTGTAGGTGGAGCATAGCTGTAGGTGGAGCATAGACCAGAGCTGTAGGTGGAGCATAGACCAGAGCTGTAGGTGGAGCATAGACCAGAGCTGTAGGTGGAGCATAGACCAGAGCTGTAGGTGGAGCATAGACCAGAGCTGTAGGTGGAGCATAGCTGTAGGTGGAGCATAGACCAGAGCTGTAAGTGGAGCATAGACCAGAGCTGTAGGTGGAGCAAAGAGCAGAGCTGTAGGTGGAGCATAGACCAGAGCTGTAGGTGGAGCACAGCTGTAGGTGGAGCATAGACCAGAGCTGTAGGTGGAGCATAGACCAGAGTTGTAGGTGGAGCATAGACCAGAGTTGTATGTGGAGCAGAGCTGTAAGTGGAGCATAGACCAGAGCTGTAGGTGGAGCATAGACCAGAGTTGTATGTGGAGCAGAGCTGTAGGTGGAGCATAGACCAGAGCTGTAGGTGGAGCATAGACCAGAGCTGTAGGTGGAGCATAGCTGTAGGTGGAGCATAGACCAGAGTTGTAGGTGAAGCATAGACCAGAGCTGTAGGTGGAGCATAGACCAGAGCTGTAGGTGGAGCACAGCTGTAGGTGGAGCATAGACCAGAGCTGTAGGTGGAGCATAGACCAGAGCTGTAGGTGGAGCATAGACCAGAGCTGTAGGTGGAGCAGAGCTGTAGGTGGAGCATAGACCAGAGCTGTAGGTTGAGCATAGACCAGAGCTGTAGGTGGAGCAGAGCTGTAGGTGAAGCATAGACCAGAGCTGTAGGTGGAGCATAGACCAGAGCTGTAGGTGGAGCATAGACCAGAACTGTAGGTGGAGCATAGACCCGAGCTGTAGGTGGAGCATAGACAAGAGTTGTAGGTGGAGCATAGACCAGAGTTGTAGGTGGAGCATAGACCAGAGTTGTAGGTGGAGCATAGACCAGAGCTGTAGGTGGAGCATAGACCCGAGCTGTAGGTGGAGCATAGACCAGAGCTGTAGGTGAAGCATAGACCAGAGCTGTAGGTGGAGCATAGACCAGAGCTGTAGGTGGAGCAGAGCTGTAGGTGGAGCATAGACCAGACTTGTAGGTGGAGCATAGACCAGAGCTGTAGGTGGAGCATAGACCAGAGCTGTAGGTGGAGCATAGACCAGAGCTGTAGGTGGAGCAGAGCTGTAGGTGGAGCATAGACCAGAGCTGTAGGTGGAGCAGAGCTGTAGGTGGGGCAGAGCTGTAGGTGGAGCATAGACCAGAGCTGTAGGTGGAGCAGAGCTGTAGGTGGAGCATAGACCAGAGCTGTAGGTGGAGCATAGACCAGAGCTGTAGGTGGAGCATAGACCAACTGTAGGTGGAGCAGAGCTGTAGGTGGAGCATAGACCAGAGCTGTAGGTGGAGCAGAGCTGTAGGTGGGGCAGAGCTGTAGGTGGAGCATAGACCAGAGCTGTAGGTGGAGCAGAGCTGTAGGTGGAGCATAGACCAGAGCTGTAGGTGGAGCATAGACCAGAGCTGTAGGTGGAGCATAGACCAGAGCTGTAGGTGGAGCATAGACCAGAGCTGTAGGTGGAGCATAGATCAGAGCTGTAGGTGGAGCAGAGCTGTAGGTGGAGCATAGACCAGAGCTGTAGGTGGAGCAGAGACCAGAGCTGTGGGTGGAGCAGAGCTGTAGGTGGAGCATAGACCAGAGCTGTAGGTGGAGCAGAGCTGTAGGTGGAGCATAGACCAGAGCTGTAGGTGGAGCAGAGCTGTAGGTGGAGCATAGACCAGAGCTGTAGGTGGAGCATAGACAAGAGCTGTAGGTGGAGCAGAGCTGTAGGTGGAGCATAGACCAGAGCTGTAGGTGGAGCATAGACCAGAGCTGTAGGTGGAGCAGAGCTGTAGGTGGAGCATAGACCAGAGCTGTAGGTGGAGCATAGACCAGAGCTGTAGGTGGAGCAGAGCTGTAGGTGGAGCATAGACCAGAGCTGTAGGTGGAGCAGAGCTGTAGGTGGGGCAGAGCTGTAGGTGGAGCATAGACCAGAGCTGTAGGTGGAGCAGAGCTGTAGGTGGAGCATAGACCAGAGCTGTAGGTGGAGCATAGACCAGAGCTGTAGGTGGAGCATAGACCAGACCTGTAGGTGGAGCATAGACCAGAGTTGTAGGTGGAGCATAGACCAGAGCTGTAGGTGGAGCATAGACCAGAACTGTAGGTGGAGCATAGACCAGAGCTGTAGGTGGAGCATATACCAGAGCTGTGGGTGGAGCATAGACCAGAGCTGTAGGTGGAGCATAGACCAGAGCTGTAGGTGGAGCATAGACCAGAGCTGTAGGTGGAGCAGAGCTGTAGGTGGAGCATAGACCAGAGTTGTAGGTGGAGCATAGACCAGAGCTGTAGGTGGAGCATAGACCAGAGCTGTTGGTGGAGCAGAGACCAGAACTGTAGGTGGAGCATAGACCAGAGTTGTAGGTGGAGCAGAGACCAGAACTGTAGGTGGAGCAGAGCTGTAGGTGGAGCATAGACCAGAGCTGTAGGTTGAGCATAGAACAGAGCTGTAGGTGGAGCATAGACAAGAGCTGTAGGTGGAGCATAGACCAGAGCTGTAGGTGGAGCATAGACCAGAACTGTAGGTGGAGCAGAGCTGTAGGTGGAGCATAGACCAGAGCTGTAGGTTGAGCATAGACCAGAGCTGTAGGTGGAGCATAGACCAGAGCTGTAGGTGGAGCATAGACCAGAGCTGTAGGTGGAGCATAGACCAGAGCTGTAGGTGGAGCAGAGCTGTAGGTGGAGCATAGACCAGAGCTGTAGGTTGAGCATAGACCAGAGCTGTAGGTGGAGCATAGACCAGAGCTGTAGGTGGAGCATAGACCAGAGTTGTAGGTGGAGCAGAGACCAGAACTGTAGGTGGAGCAGAGCTGTAGGTGGAGCATAGACCAGAGGTGTAGGTTGAGCATAGACCAGAGCTTTAGGTGGAGCATAGACCAGAGTTGTAAGTGGAGCATAGACCAGAGCTGTAGGTGGAGCATAGACCAGAGCTGTAGGTGGAGCATAGACCAGAGCTGTAGGTGGAGCATAGACCAGAGCTGTAGGTGGAGCATAGACCAGAGCTGTAGGTGGATGTGAGCTGTAGGTGGAGCATAGACCAGAGCAGTAGGTGGAGCATAGACCAGAGCT